CTTTCCCTCTAAGGTCAGGAACAAGACAATGATACTCACTATTGTTATTTCTATTCAACATAAGAATGAAAGTTCTAGCCAGAGTAGTTAGGCAAGAAAAGAAATAAAAGGCATCCAAAGGAAGAAGTAAAGCCATCTCTGTTTGCAGATGTCATATATAAAGAAAATCTTAACGATTCCACCAAAATACCATTAGAACTAATAAACAAATTCAATAAAGTTGCAGGATACAAAATCAATACACAAAAATCAGTTGCATTCCTATACACCAATTATGAACTATCAGAAAGAGAAATTAAGAAAGAAATCAAATTTACAACTGCATCAAAAAGAATAAAATACTAAGGAATAAATTTAACCAAGGAGGGTAAAATATCTGTACACCAAAGAGTATAAGAACAGTGAGACAGAAATTAAAGAAGACACAAATAAATGGAAAGACATTCTGTGCTTATGGACTAGAAGACATAGTATTGTTAAAATATCCATAGTATCTAAAGCAATCTACAGATTCAGTGCAACCCCTATCAAAATGCCAATAGCATTTTCCACAGAAATGGAAAAAAATACTAAATATTGTACAGAACAACCAAAGACCCCGAAAAACCAAAGCAATCTTGAGAAAGAAGATCAAAGCTGGAAGTATCTATCACACTCCCTGATTTCAAAACTATATTACAAAGCTGTAGCAATCAAAATAGTATGGTGTTGGCATAAGAAGAGATATATAGGCTAATAAAATAGAATAGATAGCTCAGAAATAAACCCATGCATATATGGTCAGTTTATGACAAAGGAGCCAAGAATATGCAATGAGGAAAGAGAGTCTCTTCAATAAATGGGGTTGGGAAAACTGGACCACTATCTCACACCATACAAAAAAATAAACTTAAAATGGATTAAAGACTTGAATGTAAGACCTGAAACCATAAAACTCTAGAAAAAAATAGGTGGTAAGCTCCATGACATCAGCCTTGCAATGATTTGTTTTTGGATTTAACATCAAAAACAAAGGCAATAAAAACAAAAAGTAAATAACTGTACTACATTAAACTAAAAAGCTTCTGTACATCAAAGGAAACCATCAACAAAATGAAAAGGCAACTCATGGAATGGGAGAAAATATTTGCAATCATATATCTGATAAGGAGTTAATATCCAAAATGTATAAAGAACTCATACAACTCAATAGCAAATAAAATTTAAAAAAATGGACAGAGGAACTGAATAGACATTTTTCCAAAGAAGGCATACAGATGGCCAACAGGTATGTGAAAGTGTTCAGCGTCACTAATCATCAGGGAAATGCGAATCAAACCCACAATGAAATACCATTTCACACCTGTTAGAATGTCTGTCATCCAAAGGACAAGAGATAACAAGTGTTGGTGAGGATGTGGAGAAAAGAGAATCCTTGTGCACTGTTGGTGGGAACATAAGTTGGTGTAGCCACTATGGAAAACAGTGTGGGGATTCCTCAAAAAATTAAAAATAGAACTACCATATAATCCAGCAATTCCACTCCTGGTTATACATACAAGGGAGATAAAATCATTATCTCAGAGATATCTGTACCCCCATATTCATTGTATTTGTAATAGCCAAGACAGGAAAACAACCTAAATCTCCACTGATGGATGAATGGATTTTAAAAAGTTGTGGCACATGTATACTGTACAACAGAATATCATTCAGCTATAAAAAAAGAAAGCAGTCCATTTGTGACAACACAAATGGACCTTGAGGGCATTATACTAAGTGAAACAAGTTTGACAGAGAAAGATAAATACTATATGATCTCACTTGTATGTGGAATCTAAAAAAATCTGACCTTATTGAAACAGAACAGATTGGTGGTTGCTAGAGGCAAGAGGTGTTAGGTGGGGATGGGAGAAATGGGTAAAAGTGGTCAAAAATACAAACTTGCAGTTATAAGAAATTAGTTCTGGGAATGTAACTTACTGCATGGTGACTGTTAACAATACTGTTTTGTGTATTTGAGCTGAGAGAGTCAATCTTAATAATTCTCAGCATAAGGAAAAAATTGTAACTGCGTGGTGATAGATGTTAACTAAATTTATTGTGGTAAATGTTTTGCAGTATATACACATATCAAATCATTATGTTGTATACCTTAAACTAATACAATATTGTATGTCAATTATATCTCAATGAAACAGAAAAATAAAATAGACTTTTGATATTTTCAAAAAATATTTTGCTGTATTTGATTTGCTAGTAATTTGTTAAGGACTTTTATATTTTATTAATGAAGAATATTGTTCTCTAGTTTTATTTTTATGCAATGTCTTCTCTGGGTTGTTATCAGGATAACAGTGGTTTCATAAAAAGAGTTGAAGTTTTTCTTTTCTATTTTCTAAAAGACTTTGTTTAGGCTTGGTATTATTTCTTCCTTAAATATTTGGTAATATTTATCAGTAAAGCCATCTGGACCTGGAGTATTCTTTGAAGGAAGATTATAAATTATAAACTCAAACTTTAAATTATTACAGTGCTATTCAGATCTTCCATTTCTTCTTGGGTCAGTTTTGGTAATTTGTGTCTTTCAAGGAATTTGTGCATTTCATCAGATTTATTGGCATAATATAGTTCATACAATACTATTCCCTTATTATTATTTTAATTTCTGTAGTATCTGTTGTGTTGTCCTCTTTTATTTTTGACATAGTTAATTTGTATCTTCTCTCTTTCTTGATCATTCCAGCAAGAGGTTTATCAATTTTATTAATTTTTTTTAAGCAACTAGCTTTTGGTTATAGATTAAAAAAAATATATTGTTTGTCTGATTCTGATTTCTATGTCATTGATTTCTGTTCTATATCATTTCCTTCATTCTAGTTTAATTGGGTTTAATTAACTCTTTTCTTTCTTGTTGAGGTTTAAGTTTAAGGTGTAAACTTTGATTTTATACTTTTCTTCTAATGTAAGTATTTAAAGTAAAATTTTCCCTCTAAGCCCTGTGCTGCATTCCACTAGTTTTGATATATTTTCATTATTCTTCAGTCCAAAATATTTTCTAGTATCCCTTGTGATTTCTTCCTTGACTTGTGATTTATTTTAAAATATGCTGTTTAGTTTCCAAATATTTTGAGGTTTAAAAAATATCTTTCTGTTTGATTTCTAATTTAATTTTTTGTGGTCATAGAAAATAGTCTGTGTGATTTAAATTCTTTTAAATTTATTGGAAATTGTATAGGCCTGCATATAGTCTCTTAGTTAAAGTTCAATGTGTGCTTGAAAAAGAGTGTGTATTCTTGTATTCTTGGGTGTACTGTTCCATACGTGTCAATGAGGACAAGGTGATTGATAATATTGTCTAAATCTTCTGTTTCTCCTACTTTGAAGGCATGACTCTTTTGGGGTTTCTACTGAATGTCTTCTGAATGTCTACTGAATTTGTTCACCTTCATGGTGTTTCACATTACAAGTGTACAAATTAATACTCAGCCAAAAACTCAAGAGAGCCCTCTATAGATTTCTTTGTGTAGCTCTGATAGTCTTTACCACAAAATTCTAGCCATTCTGGCCTCTGTGGAATCTCATTTCTGGGATTCCAACCCTACTCCATAGTATGGTAATTTCCTCCATGCAGAAACTAGGAGACAGTAAGGATTACTTATTTTGTTTCACTTTTCTCAGGAATTACAGTCCTGTGCTGCTTATCATTCAATGTCTGAACATAGTTGTTTTATATATTTTTGTTCAATTCTAGTTATTTGTAGCATGAGGATAATTATGGGCTGCGTTTCTCTCACATGGCAAGAGCAGAAGTATTTTGTTTCTTCCTTTCCTTCCTTTCCTTTCCTTTCCTTTCATTAAAAATATTAATCTTTCCTTTTAGTGCTGTTATACACAAATGAACAATTGTCAGTTAATACATTAGATGGCGTGTGTTTCCTTTGCTATACGCATGTTTGCTTTCCCCTAAAGGGCTGACTGAAGCTATATGCTCATATTGACAGACAGGCTTCACTTTAAAGAATTAGGTAGGTTAGGGTCTCCCAATGAAGATCCCCTCCGGGGGGGGGGGCAACCCATAACATAGCTACCTTAGTATTTCCCAAGCAGAGAGGTCAGTTTCTGTAGAGATTAGTACTTCAGTTTTAGTTTATGTATAAGGTTGCTACTGCCTTGCATGTGTGTAGGTGGGAAAGCTGGGAGGGCGCAACTGGTTCAGGCATTCCTTTTCAATCCTCTAATTAATTTTACCAAATAATGTCTAGCATTCCATTCCCTGCTCCATACCTGCTCCATCTTTGCTTGGAGCCTCCTAGGAACTCTATCAAGAAGACCCAATCCAATTCTTTTTATAGCATTTTCCTGCGGGTATCTGGGACTAGAGTTTTCATTGGTCTGGTTTATCCATTAATACAACTTCATCTTCTTTCTGTCTTCTAGAAATGTATCTCTATCACTAGTTTGCTCATGGTTTTCTATCCCATTCTCAGCTTTCCTAGTGATTTACTTCCTTTGACACCCCACAGTGCCATTTCCATGGAATGTGGGAAAAGAGAGGGAGGTAAATACATATATACTCGTGCTATCATTTTGAATCACATGCCTTTTTTTGAAAATGTTATGACAAACTTTATGACAGTCATTTATGTTTTTTAAAAACTTTAACATTTTAGTGATTAAACAAAAAACAACAAACCTGTATCCAAAGCGTAATTTCTGTTGAGGGAATAAATAACAGTGTTGATCTAAATTACTTTGAAGTTAACCAAAGCCTAAGAATGATTCAGATTATTTCAGCACCATCTAGTTGATTAGTTTTTATTTATTACTTATTATTTTGCTTGAGGTGCTTTAAAAATAGCCATTAACATAAAAAAAAATCTTGGGCTCTATAGGAAAAGGCAGCACCACAGACTCAGAATTATGCTTTTGCTTCATGATTAAATTTGATTATATGCCTAAAGTAGACGAATTAGAGTTTATTGTCACGTTTATGGCTGAGTTTTCTGTTTTTCTGATAGGTACAACAGTAAACCTGGTGATGACTATGAAGATCCCAAAGATGTTCAAGCCATCAAAGAGGCCCAGTTGTATATGGGAGACTTCAATTTGAAGACAGCCCCAGACTATAAGATACCTGAACACATGAGAGTAAATGCTGCCAAGAAGGAAGAGGAACTGGGACACCTCGACTCTATGGTACTTACCCGTAGCTTTCATGACAATGAGGCACACACCCTGGATTTTTTAATTGAATTCTGCTGAAACCACCCATTTTGTTAGCTGGTCCATAAAGATATATAGTCATAGAAATTTAGAATTGGAAAAGGGCTTCATGATTATCTAGAATAATGCCCCTTTTTACAAATGAGGAAATTGAGTCCCAAACATAAGAGATTTATTCATGACTATTTAGTTAACATGGCAGAACCAGCCTTCAAATTAATTACTTGGTTCAATACCAGTTTCATGAGTGAAGGCATTATATTTTATGAACTTTGAATCTCTGAAATTCAAACACATCCTTGTTGGCTATTGTTTTTGGCTGCTGTGGACCACCAAGACTTAGGAAAATAGACCACTGTATTTAGCCTTTGTTTGAAGGACTTCCAAACTTTTGTAGGTGACACAATACTGAGCAGTTAATATATTCCTTTTTGATTCTCTCTGCATTTCCCCAAACTGCTTCTAATCATCCTGATTTCTCATACCTGTTTTCATCCTAAAGTTTCCTCTCCCTGTCATAGTAATTCCTTGCTTTGAATTGACAAGTGACTTTTCACACTTAGAGGCTCAGAAGGCATCTGAGTTACCATTTTGAGGAGAATTTTGTATATGGCCACCTAGTATGGCTGTGCAGGTTGCCCATTTCAAGGCATCACATTGAAAAGAGTGCCAATCATACCACAGATAGAGCATGTTTGAATATTTTATAATTTTCTGACAAATGGAAGTGTAAAGTGTCTTGAGGAAGGAGTGTCTTTTTCTGTTTCACTAAAGATGCTGTACATGCCAGCACTCCAGAGATCCTGGTATGGCGATTCATAGCCACACGTCAATTTTCATAGCTCATACCTATAACTTTCTGATCAAATGGACATTTTGAACATTTTATTAGTGACCGTTTGGATTGTTTTTCTATCTGTTTGTCTAAGGCAATTCTTGTTTCAACTATCATGTTTCATCCGTTGTCACAGACAAATGTTCTTTTGATCACAATTTGCCAGTCATCCCACCTGAAATTTCATAGTCCAGGTAGAGGTGATGGACAGGTGTGATGTCTTGAATGGAACTGCATTGCACTGAAATCTATTTTATTAAAATGACAGCATTAAATAATGCAGAGCACACAATTCTACCGGTCAGAAGATCAGAGTTCCGTTCCAATCTCTGCCACTTAATAGTTATATGAACTTGGCTAGTCATGTAACTCTCCCTAAGCCTCAGTTGTATTGTCTGTTTAAAAAAAAAAAGGTATTACTACCAATGAACAACGGTAAGACAAGACACGTCTAGTCTTCTTCATAGGGTTAAAGTAATGGTCAAAGTCAATAAACAGTCATTCTTATCATGGTTAAGTTCAAAGTCACTGAAAAGTATCAAGCATTTTAGAAGTTGTGTATTATACATTTCCCCCCCACCACCGCCTCCTCCCCCACCTCCCCCATCCATGGCTAGTGTTTAGGTGTGTGGTATTTGGAAAATTAGAAAGAGAGGCTTGGTATGTAAATTGGGCTCCTAAAAGAGGTAGGCCTTACAGCCACCAGGCTGGTTTCGGTTTGTTCTCCACTTAATTCTCGGTCCTCCAGGTACTTCAGAAGTGGTCCCTCACTCACCCAAGGGCTGGATTTTGAGTTTAAACCCTAATGCTTTAAAGATTTGTTCTTAAGTATGTAAAACATCTCCTCTATTTTGTTACAGTAGATAGTAAATATACAGGTAAGTTTTGTAAGACGACTTGAAGAAAAGCCTTTCGATCTTTTATTTTTCTTAACCTGTATATTTATGCAAAGTTACTCTTAACAGCCTTTGGGCCATCTAGTTGCCTAACTGCACACCAGGAGCAGGGTTGCATGTGACTGGAGGCTCTGGTCAGGGCATTTAGGAAACACAACCTGGGGAGAGAGCTGGCAGTGAGGGAGCAGTGGGCCTGTTTGGCACCTGTGACTGGAGGCAGGGGCATAGCTGGGCTCGGATGAGTGGAGAAGGAACCAAGGAAAAGTCCAGGAACCTCTCAGTGTGACGTGGTACTGGAATTCAGGATCGTGACCTTGCCTGCACAAGGAGTAACAGAAAGAATGTGGCCAAAATACAGAATGACAACAGGCTAAAGTGGCCCGAGGTGGGCAACCCTAAGTGAGTCTAAGCCAATAGGATTTGAGTTTTCATCAGGGAAGGACGGTTACTGTGTGCTCCTGACCAAAGAATGGCCTTCCCTTCCCTGGGATCTGGCTGAGTACAGGGCTCAGGAAGGACTTCCATTGAGTGGTGGAAGGAGGATGGGGGAACTCAGCCCTAGAAGCCAGCTGGGGGACACCAGAGGTCACATCCAGACCGTCTTCCCCTTATGGAGAGGTGAAATGGGGAAAAGCCTAAAAACTAGAGAAAATAACTTAGTAGAGAACAGGAATGATCAGATACATTTTTATCTTGAATTTTTGCTAGGCATTCCAGTCAAGGGACAAAAGCAAATTGTATTTCAAGCTGCCCTTTGTGAGCAGGTTGTCATTTTGCTTTCTTCCTGTTCTTTTTATCAGGCCTATGCAAAGAAAATGCACATGAACAAGTGCATTGTCTCTCTTCGAGACCTTAAAGTGGCTGTCATCGAGGAAATACAGTGCCTGGTGCAAGAACTGAAGAACATTCAGTCGACTCTTCACGTATCCAAGCACATCCCCATTCCCCAAATCCCTCAGATATACCCAGAAGAAGTTCCAGAAAAGAGATTTCAGTATGATGAGGAAACCCTCCTAGCTTTTAAGCGGCAGCAGATGAAAAATCAGGCTGAAACGGCCCCTCGAGTGGAAAAGGCAGCGTCTGCAGGCTCAGCTGGAAGCTTCCTCAGACTCTCTTCTGGAAAGGATGGGGATTTGATGACAAGTGATTCATCGTCTAGATCATCAAAAGCAACAGTATTCAATCTAGATATTCCAAAGTTCATGGAATTTGAAAGAACAGATCCAACTGAAGTGGAGCTGGAGATTATGAAGAGGGATGAGATTAAACACTTGTACATGCAACAGTATTTGATCAACAGGGTAAGAAATGAGACTGCTTATTTAAAGCTGAAGGAGAGAAGAGCAGGATAATTAAAATTGAATTATAATTTAATTAAAAATAATTAAAATTATTTTTAATTTCTCTACCTTAATCTTCCCCAAACCCTGACCAGCCCACAACTCACTGATGGCTTGGCTTTCTCCCCATCCCTGGTCTTCTGAAAATCATTGTGTTCTGCTCAGAACTTTGGAGCTTTTCAACTTTTTTCTTTTTGGAAAGCTAAGAATTAAGGGCAAATCCATGTTAATTGGTATCTAACTGAAGTCATGGTAAAGGAGAAGTGATAAAGCAGCCTTCAGATGATGGATGGAGCATAACTAAAAACCTTCCGGTGAAAATGGGGCACCCTCTGCTTTTCACCCCCTGCTCTTTCTCTAATGTGTGATTTGCCCCTTTAGTGAGAGTGTTCACGGTAATGACTAGCTTCAGAATTGTTCTGGAGCTGGAATGGCAAATATTTTTATTTGTAAGAAAATCAGGACCAGGCTGGGGCCAGTTGTGTGCAGGAGGTGCTCTGAATATGGAAGGAAAAGGTCCTTTCCTGGATGGAAGTTCCCTCCTGCCAGCCGTATAGAGTCCCCTTCCTCAGTGTGTCTGAAAGCAGCACCTATTACTCCCCAAACTTATTCTTCACCCATTATCTCTACTTCTTCCAGTGCTGTTTTCTCACTCTTTCTGTTTCTCCATACTTACCACCCCACTTCTGAGTTTCATATCTGTGCTTTTTTCTTTGCTATTTCCTTCTACCTACAATGACTTCTTCCAAAGTTGTCGTCATTCAAAACTCAGCTCACTTCCAAACCCTCTCCAGAATCTTCTGCCCACACTACATACTCTCCTTTCTTCTAAACTCCATTTGCACTTAAAATCAGCATCTTAGGTTTTGTACTTATTTTTCTTGCTGTTTTATATGTGTTAGTTTTGTCTTACAAATTATACAATTTTTAATTGAAGTATAGTTGATGTACAATATTACAAGTTACACGTGTATAATATAGTGATCTACAATTTTTAAAGGTTATACTCCATTTGTAGTTATTATAAAATATGCTGTGTTGTACAATATATCATTGTAGCTTATTTTTTTTAACATCTTTATTGGAGTATAATTGCTTTACAATGGTGTGTTAGTTCATTGCAGCTTATTTTATACATAATAGTTTGTACCTGTTAATCCCCTACCCTTATATTGTTCCTCCCTCCTTCCCTCTTCCCACTGGTAACCACTAGTTTGTTCTCTATATCTGTGAGTCTCTTGCTTTTTGTTATATTCACTAGTTTTATTTTTTTTTAGATTCCACATATAACTGCTAACATATAATATTTGTCTTAACCTGGATGACTTACTTCACTACCCAAAATATCCCCCAGGTCCATCCATGTTGTTGCAAATGGCAAATTTTCATTCTTTTTTATGGCTGAGTAATATTCCATTGTATATATGTACCACATATTTTTCCATTCATCTGTTGATGGACACCTAGGTTGCTTCCATATCTTCACAATATCTTGTAAATAATGCTGCTATGAACATTGGGGTGCACATATCTTTTTGAATTAGTGTTTTTGGTTTTTTTGGATATATACCCAGGAGTGGAATTGCTGGGTCATAAGGTAGTTCTATTTTCAGTTTTTTGAGAAGCCTCCCTACTGTTTTCCACAGAGCTACACCAATTTGCATTCCCAACAACAGTGTGTGAGTGTTCCCTTTTCTCCACATTCTTGCCAAAATTTTTTATTTGTGTGTGTGTGTTTTAATGATAGCCATTCTGACAGGTGTGAGGTGATTATCTCATTGTGGTTTTGATTTGCATTTCCCTAATGATTGGCTATGTTGAGCATCTTTTCGTGTTCCTTTTGGCCACCTGCGTTTCTTCTTTGGAAAAATGTCTATTCAGGTCTTCTGCCCATTTTTTAATCAGATTGTTTGTTTGTTTGTTGATGTTGAATTGTATGAGCTGTTTATATATGTTGGATATTAACCCCTTGTCCATCGTATCACTTGCCAATATTTTCTTCCATTCAGTAGATTGTCTTTTCATTTTGTTGATGGTTCCCTTTGCTGTCTGAAAACTTTTAAGTTTAATTAGGTCCCATTTGTTTACTTTTGCTTTTGTTTGCTTTAGGAGACAGATCCAAAAAAAAATTGCTATGATTTATGTCAAAGAATGTTCTGCTTATGTTTTCCTCCAGGAATTTTATGGTTTCCCAGCCTTAAATTTAGGTCTTTAATCCATTTTGAGTTTATTTTTGTGTATGGTGTTAGAGGATGTTCTAAGTTTATTCTTTTACATGTAGCTGTCCTGTTTTCCCAGAACCACTTATTGAAGGGGCTGTCTTTTCTCCATTGTATATTTTTGCCTCCTTTGTCATAGATTAATTGACCATAGGTGCATGAGTTTATTTCTGGGCTCTCTATTCTGTTTCACTGATTGATGTGTCTGTTTTTGTGCCAGTATCATACTGTTTTGATCATTGTAGCTTTGTAGTATGGTCTTGAAGTCAAGAAGCATAATTCCTCCAGCTCCACTTTTCTTACTTGAGATTATTTTGGCTATTTGAGGTCTTTAGTGTTTTCACACAAAAATTTTTTTGTTCTAGTTCTGTGAAAAATGCTATTGGTATTTTGATAGGGATTGCATTGAATCTATAGATTGCCTTGGGTAGTATGGTAATTTTAACAATATTGATTCTTCCAATCCAAGAACACAGTATATCTTCCCATCTGTTTGTGTGATCTTCAATTTCTTTTATCAGTTTCTTATAGTTTTCCGAGTATAGGTCTTTTACCTCCCTAGGTTGATTTATTTCTAGGTATTTTATTCTTTTTGATGTGATGGTAAATGGGATTGTTTCCTTAATTTCTCTTTCTGCTAGTTCCTTGTTAGTGTATAGAAATGAAACAGATTTCTGTATATTAATTTTGTAACCTGCAACTTTACTAAATTCATTGATGAGCTCTAGTAGTTTTCTGGTGGTGTCTTTAGGATTTTCTATGCATAGTATCATGTCATCTGCAAACAAGGACAGTTTTGCTTCTTCTTTTCCAATTTGGATTCCTTTTATTTCTTTTTCTTGTCTGATTGCTGTGGGTAGGACTTCCAATACTATGTTAAATAAAAGTGGCAAGAGTGGGCATCCTTGTCCTCTTCCTGATCTTAGAGGAAATGCTTTTAGCTTTTCACCTTTAACACATTTTTGGCCAGAGGCATATTATGGCCACAGGCATTAGTTTCTGCAAAGATCCCCCAGTCAATAATGTGTTAGCTATGGGTTTGTCATATATGGCCTTTATTATGTTGAGGTATGTTCCCTCTATGCTCACTTTCTGGAGAGTTTTTATCGTAAATGGATGTTGAATTCTGTCAAAAGTTTTTCTGCATCTATTGAGATAATCATATGTTTTTTATTTTTCAATTTGTTAATGTGGTGTATCACATTGATTTGTGGATATTGAATTATCCTTGCATCCTTGGAATAAATCGCACTTGATCATACTGTATGATTATTTAATGTATTGCTGGAATCAGTTTGCTAATATTTTGTTAAGGACTTTTGCATGTATGTTCATCAGTGACATTGGCCTGTGATGTTCTTTTTTGTGTGATATCTTTGCCTGGTTTTGGTATCAGGGTGATACTGGACTCATAGAATGAGTTTGGAAGTGTTCCTTCCTCTGCAATTTTTTGGGAATAGTTTTAGAAGGATAGCTGTTAACACTTCTCTAAATGTTTGGTAGAATTCATCTGTGAAGCTCTCTGGTCCTGGACTTTTGTTTGTTGGGAGTTTTTAAAATCACTGATTCAATTTCAGTACTGGTAATTGGTCTGTTCAATTTTCTATTTCTTCCTGGTTTCGTTTTGGGAGATTGTACATTTCTAAGAATTTGTCCATTTCTTCTGGGTTGTCCATTTTGTTGTTATATAGCTGTTAGTAGTAGTCTCCTATGACCTTTTGTATTTCTGTGGTGTCAGTTTTAACTTCCCTTTTTCATTTCTGATTTTATTCATTTGGGTCCTCTGCCTTTTTTCTTGGTGAGTTTGGATAAAGGTTTATCAATTTTGTTTGTCTTTTCAAAGAACCAGCTTTAGTTTCATTGATTTTTTTCTATTTTTTTTTTTTAGTCTCTGTTTCATTAGATACAACTCTAGGATTCCCCTGAAGTGTCTAGGACAATGCCAGACATATAGTAGATATTCAGTAAAAAGTTTAATTGATTTAATTTTAACTATTAATTTAACAAATATTTATTGGACATTCTATGTGCAGAAACAGTGCTAGCTAGGTAGTAGGGATGAAACAATTGTCAAGTCATACACATTCTCTATCCTATACAGCTTACAGGCTATGAGGGGTAGTGAGAATAAAACAGGCATAACCCTTACAACCTTGGACACCTATGTGGTATAGTTGCAGAATGGTGTTGCACTGAAGAAAACATAGTGCTTCCTCCAAAGAAATTTAAAAATAATTCAAATTTGTTGAACAAGCATTAAAGTGGAACCCACTTAGTCTACAGTCATACATTAAAAGTTTAATTTTTCTTCTCCTTGGTTTGTTGTGTTTTTTGTTTTTGCTTTTTAGCTCTCTGAAATTCTCCAGCAGTTTCACAGACCCAAACCCACAGATATCTTCCTCTTTCTCAGCCCCAGGCTGAGCCCTCACTCATTATAGGCATTTGATAGTCGAGGCTCCCCATTCAAGTACAGCCTAATGAAAAACATGGAATGGTTTGTCTTTTTCCTGGTGTACTAGTTTCATTGGGAGAATCAGCTCTTTGGGCTCTCTGTTGATCTCTTCATCTCCTTTGGGATGGGGCAAGGGAGACGCTGTGTCAAAATCAAAGTAAAACTGAGGATTTAAAATCATTTGAAATTGCAGTGGAATAAAGTCTAGACCAGGACATGAGATGTTTGGGTTCTTTTTTTATTTTTTTATTATTTTTTTTATTTTAATTTTTGTCTATGTTGGGTCTTCATTTCTGTGCGAGGGCTTTCTCTAGTTGCGGCAAGTGGGGGCCACTCACTATCGCGGCCTCTCTTGTTGCAGAGCACAGGCTCCAGAAGCGCAGGCTCAGTAGTTGTGGCTCATGGGCCTAGTTGCTCCGCGGCATGTGGGATCTTCCCAGACCAGGGCTCGAACCCGTGTCCCCTGCATTGGCAGGCAGATTCTCAACCACTGCGCCACCAGGGAAGCCCGATATTTGGGTTCTTATCCAAGCTCTGTAACAAATTTGATCTCAGGGAAGTCACTTTTAGTCTCAATTTCTTCATCTGTAAATAAACCAAGAAGATTGTACAGGTTTCTTGTGGCTCCACAATTATATTTATCTGTTTAAAAATATTTACTGTTCTGTAGATTTGAAACTTTTCAAAATAAGAAGGTGAGGAAAATATTATTTTAGTACTTACTGTGTGAAGGGCAGTGTAGAGATACCATGGGAATAGAGTGGAGACAGACACAATACTACCCACAAAGAGCTCACAGTCTCTGATTGAAACCAGCAAGAAGGACATTCTTTTTTTTTTTTTTTTTTTTTTTGGTGGTACACGGGCCTCTCACTGTTGTGGCCTCTCCCTTTGCGGAGCATAGGCTCCGGACGCGCAGGCTCAACGGCCATGGCTCATGAGCCCAGCCGCTCCGCGGCATGTGGGATCTTCCTGGACCGGGGCACGAACCCGTGTCCCCTGCATCGGCAGGCGGACTCCCAACCAGTGCGCCACCAGGGAAGCCCCAAGGGCATTCCTGATCAATGGCTTAATCAATGGTGAAGAAACAGCTCGAAGGACTGCAGTTACAGAATACCTACCACTTAATAAACCAGTTCATCAATGGTATTAAATGTACATAAATTAAATTATGAGACTGTATACACACCCATGTGCCCCACCCACCCACCCTTGTAATTCTCCATCCATAATAAGGGCATAATAAGAAAATGCTTTTACCCAAACAAATCAGTATTGTTGGATAGTTTTAAAAATGCATGTACCTGTTTTAAACTTCTAACATACCCTCAAATCTTCTTCCACCTCAGATCAAAGAACTGATTGTCACTTTTGATGCAGAACTCCGTCTCCTGAGACATCGGAAACTGAAACTAGATACTCAGATGAAATTATCTGACCTGCACCATGTCACATTATTTCAAGAAATGCTTCTCCTGAAGAATTTTGAGAAACAGGAGAACATACTTCAAGAGCGTGTTAATTCATTAGACAAAGAGGAACAGGACATGCAAGTATGAATGGGCAGAAGAGTGCTAGCTGGCTACAGCCTTAGTTATGGAGGGGACTTGATTCTTCTTTTCTTTCTTCTTCTCAACTTAATTTCCCCACTTGTTCTAGTCCACATCTCTTTCTTGTCTTCTCTTCCTCCTCCTTTTCCCCGTTATTCCTGTTTGCTCTCTGTTTTTGGTAGCCGTGCTCAGGGAGAAGTGAATCATACTTTTTAATGAATTTGATCTGATATTTTGTAAGGTAGGAGAATAAATTTTTCAAAAGTGACCCTTATGTTTAGTTTACCTAATTAAAAGTCTGTTTTTGTTGTCAGTAGCTATCATGTGAAGTTGAGTTTTGATTATATATTATCCTTATGAATGAACATACTTGGGAAAGAAGCTGGTAAATTTCTTAAATATTATAGCCAGTTTTAGAGTAATAAATAATTGAATAGCACAGGAAATTAAGTTTATTTGTTACATATATGTTAAATTTAAAGAGATTAATTAGACCATCTATCTTTGTCTTAAAAGAAGAAGGATTGTATTAGATAATACATACTCAGTAGTGATGTCAGTTTTTAGGTATATCAGTTTCACTAAGAGCAGATGTGCCTTTTTGTTTTAGTTATCTTGTATTGATATGAAAAAAACTTTTTTGAGACCACACATGGAAGAATACTAGCTGATATCCACATATCAGTAAAAATTTCAATTTACCTAATTTAATTTCTTGAGGAAGTTAAACGTCAAAGAATCGATCTTATCTGATTCTGAACTTAACTGATTTTTACAAAAGAATTATAAAATTTTAATCAAATAAATGAATGACTCTGCATTCAGAAACATCAGAAATGTAAACTTCTATTAAGAAGCTTAAAAAATGTTTGTAGGCTGTAACCTTACATTGTAATGTACATTGTTCTCTGAACCTGGTTTATCAGAAATATTGATCATTTGTTCTTATTTTTTGTTCGTTTAGTGGAAAATAAATGAAACTCTTAAAGAGATGGAAGAGAAAAAGAATGAAGTCGCCAAGATCCAGGACCAAGAAAAGGCACTCTATGCTGGTTTCCAAGCAGCCCTTGGAGAAAACAATAAATTTGCTAACTTTCTCATGAAGGTACTAAAGAAGAGGATTAAGCGGGTGAAGAAAAAGAAGGTTGAAGGAGATGCTGGTTTGTATTTCTTTTTACGTATGATCCTATTTTTTTCTCATTAGCATGAAATAGAGAAATAACTAAGGGAAATAGTACACCCTTTTATTTCACTACAACACAGACAATGTAGAGGCACTATGGGGTTACAGATGAGAGCATATAAACCTTTAGGTCTCTAACCATCTGGATTGTGTGTGTGTGTGTCTGTGTGTGTCTGTGTGTATCTGGTATAAGATATCATAGGATAGTTTAATTTAACAAGCACATCTTTTCATATGTTTATTTGCCACCTGTATATCTTTGGTAAAATGTCTCTTCATGTCTTTTGCCCATGTTTGAATAGGATTGTTTGCTTTGGTACTGTTGAGTTTTGAGAGTTCTTTACATATTACACCTACTAGTCCTTTGTCAGATATGCGGTTTGCAAGTATTTTCTCCTGGTCTATAGCTTGTCTTTTCATTCCCTTAACAGAGTTTGCAGAGCAATAGTTTTGAATTTTGTCAGTGTCCAATTTGTCAATTTTTCCCTTAAATTTTTTTTTCTTCTTTTAAATTGAAGTATAATTGATTTACAATGTTGTGTTAATTTCTGCTGTACAGCTAAGTGACTCAGTTATACACATATATACACTTTTTTAATATTCTTTTCCATTATGGTTTATCATAGGATACTGAATATCATTCCCTGTGCTATACAGTAGGACCTTGTTGTTTATCCGTTCCATATATAATAGCTTACATCTGCTAACCCCAACCTCCCACTCCATCTTGCCCCCATCCCCCTCCCTCTTGGCAACTACAAGGCTGTTCTCTATGTCTGTGAGTCTGTTTCTGTTTTGTAGGTAGGTTCATTTATGTCATATTTTATATTCCACATGTAAGTGATAGCATATGGTATTTGTCTTTCTCTTTCTGAGTTCACTTAGTATGATCATCTCTAGTTGCATCCATGTTGCTGCAGATGGCATTATTTTGTTCTTTTTTATGGCTGAGTAGTATTCCATTGTATATATGTACCACATCTCCTTATTCCATTCACCTGTTGATGGACATTTAGGTTGTTTCCATGTCTTGGCTATTGTGAATAGTGCTGCTATGAACATAGGGGTGCATGTATCTTTCTGGATTAGAGTTTTGTCTGAATATATGCCCAGGAGTGGGATTGCCGGATCATATGGTAATTCTACTTTTAGTTTCCTGAGGAACCTCCATACTATTCCCATAGTGGCTGTACCAACTTACATTCTCACCAAGAGTGTAGGAGAGTTCCTTTTTCTCCACACCCTCTCCAGCATTTGTTATTTATATAGTTTTAATGATGGCCATTCTGACTGGTATGAGGTGATACCTCATTGTAGTTTTGATTTGCATTTCTCTAATAATTAGTGATGTTGAGCATCTTTTCATGTGCCTATTGTATTTCTCCTTTGGAGAAATGTCTATTTAGGTCTTCTGCCCATTTTTTGATTGGGTTATTTTTTGTTGTTGAGTTGTATGAGCTGTTTGTATATCTTGAGTTTTTCCCTTTTTGGATCTTGTTATGGTGTCAAGTCTGAGAACTCTTTGCCTAGCCCTAGGTCCTAAAGATTTTCTCCTATTTTTTTCTAAAAGTTTTATCATTTTACATTTAAGTCCGTGATCCATTTGGAGTTAATTTTTGTATAAGATGTGAGACTTTGGTCAATGTTTTTTTTTCTCCTAGGAATCTCCAATTCTAGCACCATTTGTTGAAAAGGCTGTCTCTCTCCCATTGAATTGCTTTTGATCTTTGTCAAAAATCATTTGGGCCTATTTGTGTGGTTCTATATCTGGGTTTTCTATTCTCTTCTATTGATTTATGTGGCTATCTCTCCACCAATACTATAGTCTTGATTGTAGTAGCTACTGAGTTCTGAAATCGGGTAGACTAATTTCTCCCAGTTTATTCTTCTTTTTCAAAATTGTTTTAGCTATTCCAGCTCTTATATATTTCCATATTTTAGAATTTTTTTTCTCAACCTACAAAAAATCTTGTTGGAATTTTGATAGCAATTGTGTTAAACTTCTATATCAATCTGGGGAGAATTTGCATCTTTACTGTGTTGAGTCTTCCAATGCATGAACATAGTATGTATTTATGTAAAGCTTTGATTTGTCATCAGCATTGTGTTTTCAACATACAATTCAAGTTCATGTTTTGTTAGATTTACACCAAAGTATTTCCCTTTTTTTTGAGTAATTTTAAAAGGTATATTGCTTTTAATCTTGGTGTCCACGTATTCATACTAGTATATAGAAATATAATTGCTTTTTAGATGTTTATCTTATATCTTATAACCTTGCTTATTAGTTTTAGGGGTTTTTGATTGATTCCTTGGGAATTTCTATCTGTAAAAAGGGCCAGTTTTATTTATTTCTGGTCGGTATGCCAATTACCTTTTATTGCCTTATTGCACTGGTTAGAACATCCAGTACTATCTTGAAATAGAGTGCTCAGAGCTGATATCCTTGCCTTAGTCCAATTTTAGGGGGAAAGCATTCAATCTTTCACCATTAAGTATGCTACCTGTACCATTAAGAAACACCTGTGTTTCATAGTCTTTATCAAGTTCAGGAAGTTCCCCTCTCTTCCTATTTTTCATGAATTTTTATCACGAATGGGTGTTGAATTTTTATCAGATGCTTTACTGTATTGACAATTATGTGATTTTTTTTTCTTTAGCCCGTTAAGATGGTGGATTATATTGGCTGATTACTGATTACCAGATCAGACTAGCATTTCTGAAATAAATCTCCCTTGGTGTGATGTAAAATTCTTTTTATATATTGCTGAATTCTACTTGCTAATATTTTGTTAAGAAATTTTATGTCTATATTCATGAGGATCATTGTACTGTTTTTGTACTATATCTGGTTTTACTATCAGGAGAATAATAGCTTCAGAATGTGAATTGGGAAGTCTTCTCTCCTTTTTGATTTTTCTGGAAGATATTGTAAAGAATTTATGGCAGTTCTTTATAAATGTTTGGTAAAGTTCTCCAGTGAAACTATTTGGGCCAATGCATTTCTTCAAGGTAGTTTTAAAATTAGAATTTCAATGTTCTTAATAGTTACAGAACTATTCAAATTATCTATTTTATATTGGGTGAGTTGTAGTAATTTGTATTTTTTGTGGAATTGGTCTATTTCACCTAAGTTAGCAAATTTATGTGCATAGAGATGTTCATTGTATTTCCTTGTTATCCTTTTAATATCTGCAGCGACTGTAGTAATATCACCTGTTGCATTCTCGATATTGGTAAGTTGTTTCTTATCTTCCTATTTTTTTTTCAGTCTTGCTAGAGGTTTGTCAATTCAGTTGATCTTTTTGAGAACAAATCAGCTCTTTGTATAAGTGATTTTCTCTATTATTTTTCTGCTTTCAATTTTATTGATTTCTGTTATTATCTTTACTATTAGCTTCCTTCAGCTTGCTTTGGGTTTATTTTGTACTCCTGTTTTTAGGTTTTGAGGTGGGAGCTTAAATCATTGACTTGAGAATTTTTCTTCTTTTCTAGTTTAGTACTATAATTTCTCTCTCAGCACTGCTTTAGCTGTATTCCACAAATTTTCAAGTGCATTTTCATTTCCATTCAGGTCAATGTAGTTTTAAAATTTACATTGTGACTTCTGGGTCCCATCGATTATATACAAGTGTGTTGTGTAGGTCCAAGTGTTTTGAGATTTTCCTGTTATCTTTCTGTTATTGAGTTCTAGTTTGATTCCATTGTGGTCAGAGAACACACTTTGTATGATTTCAGTTCTTTTATATTTGTTGAGATTTGTTTTATGGTCTGACATACGGTCAATCTTGGTGTATGTTCTGTGGGCACTTGCAAAGAATGTATATTGTGCTGTTTTGTGTGAAGTGTTTTATTACTGTTAGTTAGATTCTACTGATTGATGATACTGTTCAGGTCTTCTATATCCTTGCTGATTTTCTGTATAGTTTTTGCATCAAATGTTGAGGGAGGGGGTGTTGAAGTCTCCAAATAGAATCATGGATTTGTCTATTTCTCCTTTCATTTTTGTCAGTTTTTGCTTCACATATTTTGCAGCTCTGTTGTTTTATGAATACACATTTAATATTGCTATGTCTTCTTGATGGATTGACACTTTTATCATTATATAAGGTCTTTTTCTGTCTTGGGTAATTTTCTTTGCTCTGAAGTCTATTTATCTTATATTAGTATAGCCAGTCTTGCTTTGCTTTGATTAATAGTTGCATAATATGCCTTTCCCCTCCTTTTAATTTCAACTTGACTATATAATTATATTAGAAATGAATTTCTGATAGCATATGGTCAAATAATGTTTTTCATCCACTCTGTCTTCTAATTGGTATATTGATCCACTTACATTTGATATATTAGGGCTTAAGTCTGCCATTTTATTTTTTATTTGTTCTTATTCTCTGTTTTCTGTGTTTGTTCTTTTTCCTACCTTCCTGTGGGTTACTTGAACATTTTTTTTAGAATTCCATTTTAATTTTCTCTAGCACTTTTTAATGTATCTCTTTGTATACTTTTTTTAGTGGTTGCTCTATATATTATTGATATATTATATATACATAATTTATCCCAGTCCTCCAGTGTCATCATTTTACCAGTTTAAGTCAAGTATAGAATCCTTGTCTACCTTTACATCTCTTTATCTTCCCTATTTATAATATGCTTGTCTTAAATATTTCCTCTACATACATCTAGAACCATATCAGATAATGTTATAATTTTTGCTTCAATTATCAAACATAATTTAAACACTTGGAGGAGGAAAGCCTATTGTATTTATTCATGTTTCTGCTCCAAGTTTCCTGTTTTAAAAAATAATTTTCCTTCTGTGTAAAGAATTTCTTTTATCCATTCTTTTAGGGCAGGTATACTAGTGGCAATTTCTTAAATTTTCCTATAGTCTGAGTATGTCTTGATTTCTCCTCTTTTTCTGAAAGACATTTTCACTGGGTATAGGATTGTAGGTTGGCATTTCTTTTCTTTCAGCATTTGAAAAATATTGTGCCAATTCCTTCTGGTCTCCATAGTTTCTGATGAGAAACCCTCTGATATTCAAATTGCTTATCCCCTTTTCTCTGTTTGCCTTCAAGATTTTTTTCTCTTTAGTTTTCAGAAGTTTGACTGTGATGAGTCTTAGTGTAGATTTTTTTTTGGATTTATCCTCTTTGGAATTCATTCAACTTATCCGTAGGTTTATGTCCTTTGCCAAATTTGAGAAGTTTTCAGCCATTATTTCTTCAAGTCCTTTTAAAGACCCCCTCTTTTCCTCACTCCTTCATGTGACTCTGATGGCATGAATGTTAGACCTTTCATTATGGTTCCATAGGCCCCTGAGGCTCTGGGGTTTGGATTCTGTTTGTTTTTCCAGTTTGTTTTCTCTCTGTTGTTCAAACTGGCTACTTTCTACTGTTCTTTCTTCAGGTTCACTGATTCATTTCTCTGTCCCCTCCATCCTGCTGTTGAACCCATCCATTAGTTTCTATTCTAATTATTGTATATTTCAGTTCTAAAATTTCCATTTAGTTCTTCTTTATACAAATAAATAGGCTGAGACTATTTCTTTGAGGCATTGCATTTTTTCATTTGCTTCAAGTGTGTTCATAATTGCTCATTGAAGCATTTTTATCTTGCCTGTTTAAAGTACTTTGTCAGATAATTCTAACATTTCTGTCATCTTAGTGTTAACATTTATTGGTTGTCTTTTCTCATTCAGTTGGAGATATTCTTGGTTCTTGGTATGATGCATGACTTTCAGTTGAGAGCTGGAGACGTTCATATTATGTATGAGATTCTGTATCTTATTTAAATCTTCTGGCTTACTTGTTTACTTGGCTTTCTCTAACACTGCCAGAGGAAGGAGTGGGTGCATCCTCCTTACTGCCAGGTGGAGGTACTCAGCCTTTTTTTTAACCCAAGGGAAGGGAGATCTCCTTACTATTGTTGTGTGCAGATGGGAGTCCCAGCTCCCCACAGAATCTCTACTGACAGCATGGTGAGGTCATTTGGCTAGAGAGAGCAGGTTCTGGTTGGGCCTTTCTTTATCTGCACCTGTTGGTGTTTCAGGTTTCTTAGTCTTCTCCACCTCTGAGATACAGGGCAAAAAAGAAGGCCCAAGGAACTCACCACAGTGTTGTTCCTCAGGGTTCGAAGTGCATTAGTAGGTCTGCTGCCTTCTCCCCACTTCTCAGAGTCTTCTTGTGTTTGTTTTACATATAATGTCCAGGGGTTTGGGCTGTATTTAGTGGGAGGAATAGGGGAAGTAGATCTGCTTCATTTTCTTGAAAACAGAAATCTATGTAAGAATTTTAAAGCCTAATTTTAAACTTTGCTGATTTATTCCATAAGGTGGTACAGATCACTTGTAGTCATTTTAAGAGACATTTTAATTTAATTAATTAATTAATTTATTTATTTTTGGCTGCGTTGGGTCTTTGTTGCTGGGTGCAGGTTTTCTCTAGTTGTGGTGAGTGAGGGCTACTCTTTGTTGCGGTGTGTGGGTTTCTAATTGCAGTGGCTTCTCTTGTTGCGGAGCACGGGCTCTAGGCATGCGGGCTTCAGTAGTTGTGGCTCGTGGGCTCTACAGTGCAGTCTCAGTAATTGTGGTGCACAGGCTTAGTTGCTCCGCGGCACATGGGACCATCCTGGACCAGGGCTCGAACACATGTCCCATGTATTGGCAGGCGGATTCTTAACCACTGTGCCACCAGGAAAGTTCTGAGACATTTTAATTTAACAAATCTTCTAGTGAGTATAAGGTCCACTTCTTATCTCTGTTTTTTGATGTTCCATATAATAGAAATTGCCACATGGGCTCAAGGTGTTTTAAAAGAAAATGGGGTTAGAGTTGAGTGGGGGAGGTCTACAATTCCTAATCCAAAACTCTTGGGAGCAGATGTACTTTAGTATTCAAAAAATTTTATAAAATATATTAAATATGACATTGTTAAAGGAAAAAATCATTCATGACACTTGTTAAGAATAAGGCAGACTTTATTCAGGGGGATCACTATAATGGAATTTTATAGTAGGGGAGAGATCAGCTCAACTCTGAATACAACAAGGCAAGTGGAGATTTATAGCCAAGGAGCATGGTCAGGGTTAGTTGATAGAAAATTACTAAGAGGTAGGGTAATTCTTTGCTAAACTGACCTAACAGGGTTTCTGTTGAAGGCAGGCCAGAGTGATAAGATATTGAGGGTAGGGAATAAGGAATTCGACCAGCTATCAAGGGTGGGGAATTACTCAGCAGGACTCTTGCTAAAACTGAACCAAATGGGCCCAGGACAGAGCCCATTTAGTTCAAAGTCAAGCACTAGTCAGAGGACTCAGAGGAGTCTGACTCAAGTTTGGTTAAAGGCGAGAGTCTTTGTCAACTAACACCCCCAGCAGGGTTTGGTGCAGAATCTCTAAATCAAACGTCGTAATACTTCTGCAGCAAGACATGAATATTCACACTAAGTAGGTTAAGTGAAGATTATAAATGGTATTACTTCGGTTCAGAGAAGTTACGAAAAACCTTCTCTGTTTTCAGAGCACTGTGGTTTAGGAATTGTGGACTGTATAACCAAGTGTGTGTTAGGTGGGTCACAGCATAAGCAGCTTGGCAGCCTCTCTGACTCAATGCATTGAAATTAATTGCACAACCTTCTGCAGGCATTTGAGTTTGTGGTCTCTGTATCCGTAACCATTTAAAATTCTTCTAAAAATACTGAATAATTTCCTTATTTACCTGTTGTTTCCCTAGTAACTAACTCATTGAAAAATGATTTATTTTTAAAGTCTTAACACAGGAACTTCTCTGCTTATTAACAATGTTTCCCTCTCTCCTCAGATGAAGATGAAGAAAGTGATGAATCAAGTGAAGAAGAATCCAGCTTGGAGAGTGATGAGGATGAGTCTGGATCTGAAGATGAGGTTTTTGATGATTCTATCTGCCCAACAAGTAAGTGGGATAAAACCATGCATTCTCTGTTACGTGTGACTGTGGATTGATAATACCAAAAATTCCCTTTTATTGGTTTCTCGATTGTCTCATAATGATATTTAAGGAAAGGATGGCTTAATATGTATGAAGTATAGTCTAATGGATACTCTTTGGGGCTCTCTGGACAATTAATTTTCTGTTTCTTGAGGCAGATATTTATAAGTACCCAATTAAATAATCTGCAGACAATCTCTAGTTGATTCAGAGTCATAAATTATGCAGAAAGTTTCATTTTATAGAGAAACAGAAGATTTATATATAAAAATATATACTTAAGTATATTTTTATAAAGCTCTTCCTTTTTGCCAAACCATTCAGTTTTCATATTTCAAACCTGTTTTGTAAGGGCAATTTTTACGTTTCCTGGAGATGCTTGGTGAAACCAGTCTGAAATATTCTTACAGTCCAATATTCTTATAGTCCAGACCAATATTCTTACAGGCTCAATACATGAATGGCTCAGTAGGAAAACTGTTTCTTCTTGATCTGAAATTATTTTCCTAGGTATTTCATATCAATTATAAATCAAATTTTAAAGTCAAATAAAGTTTAAATCTTGTTTTGATTTTGAAAATAAGAATCTCCTTAAAATCATATTTGTGAGTGGAAGAAAGCTAGAAAATCTTGTAGTGCAACTTGTTATCTTATAGCAGGATTAAACGGCTTGAACAAAGGCTCACAGTTAGTTTAGTGGTAGAACTCGGGATGGAGCTATGGTTCCTAAATTCCATTGTAGTGATCCATTATATTTTCACATTCTTTATCAATTACTCAGTGGATAAATGTGGCTGTCAGTGTGATATAGTGGAAATTAATACAGAGGTACTGTACTTGAATCCCATTCTGTCACATATCAGCTGTGTGACCTCTCTGAGGCTTACGGTGGTCGGGTGGTCGTGACCTATAAAATGGGAACAACAGTCTCTACCTTGCAGGGCCTGTGAGCCTTGAATGAGATAAGGTACATAAAGGACCCAGCACCGAGCCTGGCTCAGAGCACTGCTCAGAACATCAATACTAGTATCATAACCACTATCATGATTATTAATACCATTCATAATTTCTACCCAGAATAATTTCTACCTGGAGCCCTAAGTATGATGGAACCTTGCTGGAGTAGATGGACATTAATAATTCTGAAGCTCCAAAGTCCACACTTATTGTATTACTACATTCCCTAACAAATGGGGCTGCTTTGCTGTTTTGACTGTCTTTTCAGATTGTGATAAGGGTCTCTTTGAACTGGCCCTTCAACTTCGAGAGAAAAGGCTGGACATTGAAGAGGCCTTAGTTGAAGAAAAGAAAGTGATCGATAACCTCAGAAAGGAATATGATACATTATCCAAAAAAGTATGTTGGTCTGCCCTTCTCAGGTCTGTTCATCCTCTCCCAACAAGCTACATCTCCTTGCAGCTATAATATTGCTATTTCATAGCAATGGCATGAGTTAGGACTTCTTGTAAGAGAACAGACATTTCCCATGTTATATCCATTTACAGTTGTGGTTGAGGGGCCATTGCTCTTTTAATGACTGGGACTTTCTTTATCTAAATCATTGGCCTCCAAACTTTTTTGATTACATACTTCTATAAGTAAAAAAATTGTGGAGCACATATTCCCACAATAAATGTATATTTATTTATAAATTATATACATGAACTATTGTACTAATATATTTTATGTATTATGAAACATTTGCAAAAACAGAAATTAACAAGAATAAGATAAAAGTAAATAGAAATTGAAACTTCTTTCCGGACCCCAGTAGATGACTTTGACACTCTGGGGTGTATGCATTCCATGTGGGAGGCCACTAAGCTAAACTTCTGGTACAATTATTGTGATTTTTCTGCTGTATCTGCTCAGTTTCCCTCTTAAGTACTCTTTCCTAGAGCAGCGTCACTTGACTCATATTCAGAAATATTTTTGATAGATTGCTTCTTCTCTTGAACAAGGAAATGATTTGGAAAACTTTCTAGTATTTTAGGAGATGAAGCTATATGCTTTAGAAATACTGTAGTTAGTAGTTTCATTACTTTAAAGGGCTTTTTTCTCTAGTTTATTGATGTCATTATGACCAAATGAGATTTGAACCATCCTGACAAAGACATTCCAGGCTGAGAGATGCTTTTTTTTTTTTTTTTTTTTTTTGCGGTACGCGGGCCTCTCACTGTTGTGGCCTCTCCCGTTGCGGAGCACAGGCTCTGGACGCGCAGGCTCAGCGGCCATGGCTCACGGGCCCAGCCGCTCCGCGGCACGTGGGATCTTCCTGGACCGGGGCACTGCACCAGGGAAGCCCTGAGGGATGCTTTTACTGCAGAAAACAAAAGGGAGATGGGGACAAGTCTTCTGAGTTTTCATTAACAAAACCTATACAACTCTGGGGTCATTAGAACAATTGAAAAAGTGGTGTGGATCATGACTTAGCAGGAAGAGAATAATATATATTGCTGGGCTGCAGACTGGGATCATCCGTTTAATCACAGTCCAACCAAGCAGATCCAGCTCATGCTTTTGCTTCCTCCCAGAAAGGCTTCATTTACCACCTCGGGTATATATTCAGTGAATCTTTTCAACATCTCACCCATGGGGCTTTCCACAGGTCAAGATTGTGGCAACTAATCTGAACATGGCCGAGGAGGCCCTGGAGGCTTATCAACGTGAGAAGCAGCAGCGGTTGAATGAGCTGCTGGTTGTGATTCCTCTCAAGCTCCACCAGGTGACGGGTCTGAGAGGTCGCCCCACCCTGTCTGAGCAGGAAAGCCATATGACACTCAGGCTTTTCCAGAGAAAAATTCGTGGGCCACTAGGGGGCAGAAGTGCAGTCCTTGTGAGAAATCTACCTGTAGAATGACACCCCAACTTTTCTTACCCCTTCTGAGATTGTTATAAAAGCATAATATGAAAACATGTATATTTCCCTGTGGTCCATTATCACTTTGAAAGTTGAATCATTTCAAGTCTGAAGAAATGAGAAGCCTATGACTTAAGGGAATGGCTTGGAGTTTGAAATGTTGGCTCTTGGGCACATGTCGCTTTTCACACCATCTTTAAGTAGACATGAACTAATGATGCAAGAAGTAGCTTCACTTAATCTCTACTTGTTAATGAGGGAGGTTAAGATAAAAGGAAAATATTCTTTCTCTTTTTTCCCTCTCTTTGTTCATCTCTATATCCCGCTCAAACTACAACTTACATTAAAATGCAGAGATCATATCAGCGAAGTACCATGTTTTGTCACGTAAATAGAGAAAGCTGTATGTTAGAAGAAAAACCTAAGATCAGCCTTACATACATCTTGTTTAACCTGACCCAAACAGGATTAGCGATCTGTAGCAATTTGCCTAATATGCCAACCCTGAAATGTCCGTTCCATCCTTATGCAGTAGATATCAAGCATGGTCTTTTTGGAAAGAAGTGCTGTCCCAGAGGGACATAATGTGACTTCTATTTGAAAGTGGCTTCCTGCTTTTACCTTACTCAGTGGTGACAAGGGACAGAGAAAGAAGTGTTTCCCTTATGCTTTCCATGACCTTCAGTTTAGCTTGGTCTTTGTCTATTTTGATTTGTTTTGTTTTGTTTTTGTAGATAGAGTATGTGGTATTCGGAGAAATACCTAGTGATCTTTCTGGAACTTTGGTCTTTTCGAACCACTCCTTGGGACGACTGCAAGAACGAATTGTCCAGCTCCACGAGGAAAATTCCCAGCAGCAAAAACTTAACAAAGATTGCCGGGAACGGCGTAAACAGCTCATCCGAGAAAAGAGAGAGATGGCCAAAACTATACAGAGTGAGTATTAAGCCCGTGGCTTATTTAGTAATATTTATTGATTAGAGAGGGAACTGTCAAGTGACCATCTCCAACTTTGAAAACAGTAGGTCATCACAGATCGGAACCACTGAGAGGAAATAACACCTTCCCGTCTTCCCACTTACTCTCTCTCCTGATTCTATCAAAAGGTCATTCTCCTGGTTTAAAAGGATAAATATTTTGTCATAGAAACAGTTTCTCGCAATTTTTAAAGGTTTTATGTATAATAAATTATAGAATAATACAGCAATAGCCCCTGTACCCACTAGCAAGCTTAAGAAATAAGCATTGAAGATACAACTGAAGGCCCTTCTCCTTATAATACTGTTCTGCTCTCTCCTTCCCCAGAATCTACCACCAGGCACGTCTGTATACATATGGATGTATTCACACACAGTATACAAAGTGCCTTTGTATGTTTTTAACTGTAATATAATATTATTCCTATCATTTTGCAGTTCACTTTATTAAACCAGTTTTTGAGAGTAATCCATATTGCTACAGATAGTTACTCATTTTAACTGGTACTACAATATTCCATTGTAGGACTATAAGAGTTTTTCTTCAGTCTCCTGTGGATGGATATTTAGGGTACTTGTAATTTTTCATGATCACAGGCAGTGTTACAGTGCACCTTCCTATACATGTCTCCCGGTGCATGTGTGGAAGGAGGTGAGTCCCCAGGACTGGGGGCTCTGGGTGTGTGTGCATTTTCCGCTCTCCTGGGTATTGTCAAGTTGCCCTCCAAAGTGGCTGTACCCTTTTCTCGCCCTTGGCAGTGTGAGAATTTCCTGGGCTCCATAGTCTAATCAACACTTAATACTGCTAGACTTTCATATTTCTGCCAACCTCGTAGATGTTAAAATTGTATTTCACTGTTTCCTGAAGTCCTTGAGGTTGAATGTCTTCACATAGCTTATTTGCTGTTTATTTGTTTCCTTTTCTTGCCTGTCATACACTTTGCCCATTTTTTTACTTGTTTTTTTTTATTTTATTGATTGTAGGGAGTTTTTTCCTATATTTTATGTCTGTCTTTGTCCATTACATTCACTTCAAATCTTTTCTAATATGTGTCTCGCCTTTTTACTTTATTTAGTGTATCTTTTTGGGATACAGACATTTTAAAATCTCAATATAATTAATTTTATCAATCTATTTATGGTTTGTTCATTGTGTGTGTGTGTGTGTCTTAAGAAATCCTTTCCTATTTTCAGGTCACAAAGATATTTTTCTATCGTTTCTTCTATTAGTGTTCCTCACATTTACGTTCTTAATTCAGATGGAACTGAGGTGTATAGTATAAGATGTATGGAGTAAAGACAATTCTCCTAAAATACCGTTTGAATATTTGATATATGGAACATATGTGTAAGTGATGAAGTATTCCAACTTTAATAATAATATTACCAATACTATAATAGCATCTACCTTAATGCCACAGACCTGTACACTTTAAAGATTAAAATAGTACATTTTGTTATGTGTATTTTACCACAATTGAATAATATTTTTCGAAAGAAAATTTGAAAAAGAAAAATAATGGGAAGAATATAGCGGTCAGTCAATCCAAGTGGCTTGGATTTGTAGAGGTCAGTTTCTAATGAGTGATGATGGTTCTACCCTCATGGGTGGCTGGATTATAAAATTTTAAAATACATGTTAGGACTCTATGTTTGAATAACACTTATTTGAGACATAGAGTTTTCTCAGGTATAAACCTTGAGGCCCCAATGTTTCACACGTACTTCACATTCCTTTGGCTTCTGCAGCCTGTGAATGTTGTTTATATTTGGAAATACTATTTGTCAAACCAAGGAACAAACTAGTATGAAAATGAGGAAAGAAGCTTATTTCCATCTGAGTAACCTCGCAGTTTGGAAAAATGTGTGAAGAAGATGAAATGAAGTATTCACATTTCTGGAATGTTAGTTGAAATTAAAAAAAAAAAAGTCCCATGTGGTTCAAGTTTTATTCAGTGACTTTGAGTTCTTCTCCTACCCCCGGTCCATTTTCTGAAAGCAAGTTGTGAGTCTGGTTAAAGACTGATCTCCTAATTCAGAAGGTGAAGCTAGGAGTGGTTCCTTTACTGTATCTCAAAGAACAAATGCTTACCAGTGATGAGAAACACCACAGTCACTCACTGTTGCCTGCCTCCATCCCTAGACCCAATGGGGAAGAAGAGGAGAGTCTAGAACATGGGGTGGGGAGAGCACAGCTTGCAGCCATGGGGACAGAGGATAGGGAGTGTTCCAGAAGCCTTTATGTGCCCAGGGAACACTAGCTGGCCTGAGTCAGGAGAAGGGTGTTGTTAGGCTGGTTCCACAGTGGCGAGGACCAGAGTCCATGTCCTAGTACATGAGGCTGCCTTGGGAGAGGGACCCTGTTATATGGGGCTAGCTGGGGGAAGTCAAGGTTCTTACTGAGGGAGGCCAAGCAGGCAGCCACAGGCTAGCCACACGTGCCAATAATCCAGTCATTTCATTTGCATCACTGATTATCATGGCCACCGCATGACACAAGTCCATGGGGCGCCACTCACGTAGAATAGAAATGAATAACCCTCCCTGGATTGTGCAAAATGGCAGCCATGCTGATTATACCATTATCATTCAGCCATAACGATTATACCTGAATACAAATTCCTGTACTGTAACAGAATTGCATCATCTTGTTACACCTTAGGGCCTTCAGACTTCACTTAGGGGACTCTGGTGACTGAGAAAATCTTGTTACAAGATTACACTTTCTTGGGGAGCTCAGACTCCACAAATGGAATTTTCTCCAGGTTTTCCAGTGTTCACATGTTGAGGAAACACAGTAAACAAAAGTAAAACATATTGCATGTTAGATGGAGAGGATTGTTAAGAAGAAAAAAATAGAAAGGGACTGGGAAAGGGTGCTGAGGTCCATAGGAAGCCAGGGAAGAGCTCCCTGGAAAGGTGATATACTTACTAAGATGTGGTTCTCCCTGGTTAGGGGACAAATTACATTTGGTTACACCTTCAGAAATGGGTGTTTTGGAAATGAGTCTTTCACCAGTCTCACAACTTGTTTTCAGAAAATGGGCTGTGTGGAGTGAGTCATGTGGCTATTCGGGAAGAGAATTCCAGACAATTCCATACGAGAATATCCAAGTGAGCCCAGAATGTTTGAGAAGGTTGAGAAAAAGATGTCTGGAGTGAATGAGGAGAGAGGTGTGGGAAAGGAGGTGGGAGAGATGATAGGGGCAGGGCAGGACAGGTAGGACCTTGTGAACCACTGCAAGGATTTTAATATTTTTACTTGGAATAAGATGGAAACTTCTGTTCAGTGACTGTTCTATTCTCAACACCAGATGTTATAGAGATCAGTAATAAAAAATTAAAAACTGAAGGCCTCATAATCCCATTTGGGCCCATGAATAATCTGAGGAGGGGCAGATCAGAAGGTGTAGCCAGTTGGGAAAGATGAGTCCCTTTTACACAGGAATTTGAAGTAGATGAAAAGACAAGAGAGCAATGTGCATTCTAAGTGAGGAAAGTAGTAGGTGAAAAGTCACAGAGGAAAACCCAACTGGTAACGTAAAATCTCTTATCATCTTCCTGCAAAAGCTGTTCCTCAGAATGGTAGTGGTATTGGTATTATTCATTTAATAACAGTGGGATCTGGTGAACAACCTGACAGTGACTGTCTTCTTTTAGAAATGGAAGAAACAGTCAATCAACTAATGGTCAGCAAGTTTGGCCGTGTGGTCAACCTAGAAGCCCTTCAGACACTTTCTGTGAATACAACACTTGAAGAACTAAAGATCAAGAAACTTCGAAAGGAGCTATCAAACGCAAAGGAAATGAAGATGTGGGAGGTTAGGATGAGAGGGCAGGTGATCCACTGGGTGGAGGCAAGGACTCCTGGTGAGCTTTCAGTGGTTCCTGCGAAGCATCTGTATACCTGGAGGCACGTGTGTGAGCCCCACTTGGTTCCTCCATGATCTTAAGCCTGTCTCGGCTTTCTTACCATTCACTTAGTTGAGCCACTGGTCTATCTTGGGATGAAAGCACTAGCATTGGGTCTGGGATCCAGGATTCATGTAAATATGATGGCAAAGTGGCATGAAAGATTACAGAGAGATTCTACTCTGAGGTCTGCATTAAGGTATAAACGTTCTAATAGTGTTAGACATGAACTGCTATACTCTGAGGACCTAATTGTATTATTCTAAATAGCTTTTGATGCTATTTCCATTCTGGAAATTAGAAAAACATCTCTGAGTAATACATTTTATAACAAAGTATCTACTATTTAGCTGGTAGGGTCTTAGAAGGTATTAAATGCCTACACTGTTCCCGGAGCCATGAGATGAGGCAGTACCCCAGTGACAGCCTGATTCAGAGACAGGAACTTTTACGAGATTTTATAAGCCCAAAAATAATTATGGCTTCTCCAGTTTTCTGTCTTCACAGTAGATAGGGGAGGAGGAGAGGTTCCTAGCGCTAATCTTTTTTTTAATATTTATTTATTTTCCTTATTTGTTCTTTGGCTGCCTCAGGTCTTAGTTGCAGCACACGGGGTCTTTGTTGAGGCATGCGGGATTTTTTTGTGACGGCGCAAGGTCTGCTCGGGTTTCTCTCGAGTTGTGGCGTGAGGGTTTTCTCTCTCTCTAGTTGTGGCGCGCCGGGCTCCAGGGCACGTGGGCTCTGTAGTTTGCTGTGCGTGGGCTCTGGTCGATGCGCGCAAACTCAATTGTTGTGGTGCGTGGGCTTAGTTGCCCCATGGCATGTGGGATTGAACCTGTGTCCCCTGCACTGGAAGGCGGATTCTTTACCACTGGACCACCAGGGAAGTCCCTCCTAGTGCTATCTTGTCTCATTGAAGATTTGCCACTGTACCGTGAAGAAACAAATTACTTCAGTGTTCGTGTCAGTGGGATGGTCCCTATCAGGGTAGTGCTGGAGATAATATGTGCTATCTAAAATAATTTGTTGGAGTAGTAGGAGAACAAAGGAAAGCCACTGGCACACGTATGGCCATTCAAGCGGGTCACCTTGAGGATCCTGGGCCAAGACAATACAGGAACATTTCCTGCTTAAAGGATCATTCTCCCTTTTAATGAATGAATACCATCACTCAGTATGCACCCTAATGTCATTGCTCAACAATGGAGTGATGTCTATCTTATTTTTACCTACTTTCATCCTGCTTACATTCTTCTTTAATCAAACCAGACCCAGTGCACTTGCTTCTGATATTATTGGCTTATTGTATTTTTCTATGTGCATATCACTCCATTTGCCTGGTGGTTTTGATCAAATCATTCATTTTTCTCTGCTTCCTCATTCACTTAATCCATTTTGCATCTTTCTGCCCCGGTAGGAAAAGATTGCTCAAATGCGACGGGAATTGATGATGAAGACAAAAGAACACAGCAAAAAACTTCATCAGATGAATGATTTATGTACTGAAAAGAAGAAACTTGATTCTCAGTTGAATATTCTACAGAACCAACAGGTATGTTCCTTTTCTTCAGACCTTTTGTCAGAATTGGGGATGTTCTATAAAGGGAATATCAAGTGCTGGCTTTTAAACAAACCTTGATCTTGGACGTTTCTGGCCCACTTGGGTCCCTGAGGACAGAGTTGATACCGTCTATATTAAAATGAGCCTGAGGGACTAGCTTTACTGTATGCCTACTGGGTACCATGAATTCATACAAGTACTAATAAAGGGATTTGCCTTGGCCCTTGCAGATGTAGGGTTACTTAGGTATAAATAATGACATCAACATGCTCCCTGAATTTGGTGTCAAACATCCATTTCCAATACAGGTTTACTTCCTTTGACCTACAGGGGGCCTCCTGAATTATGGGAGGCCACATGTTACTTATTAAAACACTTGTTACTTTTTAGGGCTTTCAACTTGCTTTTATATAATATTTATTGAGGCTAACCTAGTAGTACTTAATACAGCATGTGGTGGATAATACTTATTTATAAAGTTTCACCCTATTTAAGCCTTGCCTTCTAGGGACATAACACATGTATGGCATATTCTGAACAACTATGTGCTATAATCTTTTAATAGTACCTGCAAAAATGCTGTTTTCTTTTTTTTTTTTTTTCTCTTGGTTTTCTTTACGTGCCCAGGAAATGTTCTAAGCCAGGGGTTCTCAAAGTGCGGTTCCCCCAGATCTACAGAATCAGAGGCTGTGGGGGAGGGGTCCAGCAATCTAGAACAAGCCTTCCAGCTGATTCAGCTGCATGCTAGAGCTGAAGAAGCACTGGTCTAAGCAAAAGTCCAAAAGAAAGAATGAATAAGAGGCTCTGGGAGGTTTACAACTAAAATAGAGAGGAAGCCTCGAATCTGAATATCAAAGGCCCTTTATCCACTAAAGAATTATTGAATGAAGGGTCACAGCAGTATTCAAGAGCGGTGATGCCTAGACAGACTCTTCACAGAGTCGTCAGGGAGTAAACATCTGTTGACTTGATGTGCTTTGAACGTCCAGATACCTTGGAGAGGAAAGAGTTTGGAGGCAGATCAGTTGACTGGGAAAGGGAATTAATTGTGTAGGTCTCTTTACATAGTATATCTTTATATATATAGCTTTACATGTATGGTCTCTTTCCATTGGCTGTCTCATTGAATCTTCAAAATACCACTTTCCAAAGCTCAGAGTGGTGAAGTAACGTGCTCATGCTCTCAGAGCTAATGCGTGGGGAAGTTTCTTTTTTTTAACATCTTTATTGGAGTATAATTGCTTTACAATGGTGTGTTAGTTTCTGTGTATAACAAAGTGAATCAGCTATACATATACATATATCCCCACATCTCCTCCCTCTTGCATCTCTCTCCCACCCTCCCTATCCCACCCCTCTAGGTGGTCACAAAGCACCGAGCTGATCTCCCTGTGCTATGCGGCTGCTTCCCACTAGCTATCTATTTTACATTTGGTAGTGTATATATGTCCATGCCACTCTCTCACTTCGTCCCAGCTTACCCTTCCCCCTCCCCGTGTCCTCAAGTCCATTTTCTACGTCTGCGTCTTTATTCCTGTCCTGCCCCTAGATTCTTCAGAACCAATTTTTTTTTTAGATTCTATATATATGTGTTAGCATATGGTATTTGTTTTTCTCTTTCTGACTGACTTCACTTTGTATGACAGACTCTAGGTCCATTGACCTCACTACAAGTAACTCAGTTTCGTTCCTTTTTATGGCTGAGTAATATTCCATTGTATAAATGTGCCACATCATCTTTATCCATTCATCTGCTGATGGACACTTAGGTTGCTTCCACGTCCCTGCTATTGTAAATAGAGCTGCAGTGAACGGGAAGTTTGTTTTTAAACTGTCTGACTCCATAGCTATTACTCTTACAACAATCTAGGCATGGATTGGGATGAAGATGGCAAGGACAAAAAACCAACAGTCAAAGACATTTCAAAGTAAGAAGAGCCAAAATTTGTTTGGATATGGTAAAGAGAATGAGGGAAAAGCTAAGGTGACTTCAGAGTGACTGACTGGGCATGAGGGGCCATGCATTTAGCTACAAGTAACCAAAAGCCCCACTTTTGAAGAGTAGCTTAAACAAATAGGGGTGCTTTTCCTCACTCAACAAGAAGTCTGCAGGAGATGACTGAGGGGTTTTAGTTTAGTGGGGCTGTGATGTCAGGGCCAGTATCTCTGTGACTCTCTCCGTGGCTGAAGTTTCCTTCAGAGTCACAGACAGCTGCCCCAGCTCTGTGGTTGCTGCCCAAATGCCAGACTCTTGTGTCCCTTTCATTAAGAAAGCAAATGTTTTCTGCTACATCTACTTAGCCACTCCCAGCTGGAAAAGAAAGTGGCTAAGGTTAGTGTTTAGTTTTCACAGCCCCTGAAGTGAAGGTGGGCAAGGGAGAAGAGGCAAGAAGGTACTGGGGGCTTCCCTGGTGGCGCAGTGGTTGAGAGTCCGCCCGCCGATGCAGGGGACACGGGTTCGTGCCCTGGTCCGGGAAGATCCCACATGCCGTGGAGCGGCTGGGCCCGTGAGCCATGGCCGCAGAGCCTGCGTGTCTGGAGCCTGTGCTCCGCAACGGGAGAGGCCACAACAGTGAGAGGCCTGCGTACCGCAAAAAAAAAAAAAAAAAAAAAAAAGAAGGTACTGGGTAATGACAACCCCTACTTATGAGGAAGGGCTGCCATAGTAAGTGGGGTAACAGACAAATCATGGGCTTTTGGCTTCAGGTAACCTGGTTCTCATCTTGCTTCCAGTCCTTAATATTATAGTGACTTGGGCCAGTTCATAAACCTGTCAGTTTCTGTATCTTTAAAATTGGAATAACACCACCTGGTTCTGAGTTGTGAGGATCACATGAGGTTGCAGACATAAAGCACCTGGCACGGAGAAGATAACTAGGTGTTATGTCCCTTCCTTTAATGCACGTTCAGATTTATTGAGCGTCTACTTATGTAACAAGTTCTAGGGCGGATGCTGGGTAGAGTGGTGAGATCCAGGCATATTGGGCTCTATTTCTAAGGCACAGGATCTAGCAAGAAAGATATCAAACAAGCACTTAGGTCAAACCATAGGAAACTGCTACTTTTTAGGCTAAAAAATGGTCACATGTCACAAATTTCAAATGGTTCAGTCTAATAACTACAATGATGAGTGATGGATGATTTGACAGAACGTAGAACAGGAACCCTAACCCAGCCCATGGGGTGAAGAAATCCTCCCTAAAACTGATGTCTGAAACATGAGCAGGAATTGGCTGGGCAGGGGAAGAAATCAGATGAGGGAATAAAGATTTCTTTCTTGGAAAACAAGATATGGGTTGTCTAGGAAAAGGAGGTACCTGGCCTTTTAGAATTGCAGCGATGAGCCCTGTAGGGTATGAGTGACTGAGAGCTAGCTTCATGAGTGACCCTCTAAAGGGGATTTGCATTCTAAGAGTTGCCTTATTAGCTCAAAGGGACACCTTTCCAATGGTAGGATTTCAGTGGAGGACTTGAAGGCATCTTAAAATCAGGAGCGGTGGCTCTTTAAGTCAGGCACACCTAAAAGACAAATTAAGACAGGGGTGTTTCCATAGTCCAAATGGTGCTTAAAGCAGGGAGGTGTTTTCTCTCAACAGGGCAATGCCTTCCAGGGCCCCCGGAAAGCAGATATTGTGGCAAGAGAGAAGGTCACTGAATTGATCCAAGTCCAGGCCGAAAGGATTATGGCCTTAAAGGAAGAGGTTGCTCTTTTGCGTAAGAAAGGTGGCCTTGTTCTCCCCCCCATTCACTCTCCACAAGAGAATGAATGAAGCCCGTGGGCCTTAAGTTTGCTTTTTTCTCAAATCCAGCCAAGATTTCTGACACTTCATTCAACAGATGTTCTGTTTCCTTGTCGCCTGCAACAATCCTACTGTTTTAAAGTGAACTCATCTGAAAGTCTAAAACCACATCCAGTCATGTAGTTTTAATAATTTCCCCCCAACTGCTTATCTTAAAACTGACTACAGCACCCAACAGCTACTTATTATTGAACTGAACCAATGCAGATGTGTTTGCAACCAACTGGGTCAAATGTGAAGTCTTAGGAGGCTGTTACCTTAAATCGCCAGAAACCATCGGTAATATATCCTGTTTCAGGAAATTTGTTTTTTGGTTATCTGAATTCTTAGCCATTAGCAAGAAAAGCGATCATTCAGCAAACCATGAGAAAACTTCCTTTTCTTGGTCGTTGGATCCTTGGAAAATAAACTTTGATGTTATCAGGTATTCTCTGAGAGGACACAAGAGAACAAAAACTATTTTGCCAACAATATCTGAGAAAAATGCAATTTAGAATTTTGACATTGTTAACTTCATAAAGCAGTTATTTGAGGGGTCGGGATTCAGGAAATGCAGACAGAAAGAGCAGAGCAGTTTGCTTTAGACTGGCATAAAGCAAAAAAATAAACAGCTTCCCGAATCACCCATAGTTTTAGCAACCTCCTCAGCTCTGGGTGGAGCACAGAAGTGTGTTTTGCAAAATGGTTGAGGAGTCTCTTCTCTGAAGGTGTCTGCAACTCTACCAGTATTCTAAGCACTTCCTATAGTTTCTCATGTCCTGTGCCATTTTCTTTCTGTTTCTACTTGAGTCATTTGCTGGTTTTGATATAGATCAGGAAGTAATGAAATAGATCCCATCACTGAGAGATCAACTCTAATAATCACTTTTGATTGTATATAACATTTAAACTAATTTGGGAGTATTCTTTTGGTTTGGGGGTAAGAATGATTTCACTGATATTTGGATTCCTGTTAGTACTAGAACATAGCACTTTAAATTCCGTGCTCTATGGGTCCATTTTAATGAGCTACTCCCTTGAGGCCATCCCAGAATATGAATTGGTTACCGAAAAGGAAAGGGAAAGGCGGCAATGTTGCACCAATGTAGAAAGCGACCTCAGCAAGGTCAAGTTTTCGTAACCCGTCTAGCCTGCTGATCTGCCCCCCAAAATTATAGACAGGACTTGGGGTATTTTGTATGTTGGAATATATATATATTACAGGGGGCCACTTGGCCTATTGTGTCTCTAAGATCCTTTCATACTCCTATTTGAGAGGTCCAAATAGCTCACTGTTTGTGCCCGTCACCACAGAGCTCTGATGTAGCAGCTTTTCTGCTGGAGAGCACCCTTTATCACATTCTCTGCTGTACACCCTAAACTATGTGTGTACACCCTTAACTATGTGTGCCCTTCAAGCATTTCAAAAACATGTGCTAGTCACAGTTCTGAGTGATTTACCTACTTAGTTACTCCTGCATAAAAAATCACCCCCAAACATAGCTTCAAACAACATTATCTCACCCAGTTTCTGAGGGTCAGGAAGCTGGGAGCTACTTAGCTGGGTGTTTCCAGCTCAGGTCTCTTACGAAGTTGTAGTCAAGCTGTGAGCTGGGGCCGCGTCCATCTGAAGCTTGGCTGCAGCAGGAAGGGCTACCACCAAACTTACGTAACTGGCTGGCTACGACCTTGAGCGGCCGCCTGGATACCGTGGGTGGTCCCGGAGGAGACACTATCCCCTTGTTGTGGTGAGAGCTAGGGTAAAAATTACATTATTTTCCTGGGCCTCACTGTCAGACAAATGAGAGATCTGGATAAGCTCTGAGGCTTCTTCCCATTCTGAATCCTGAGATTCTAATTGCAGCAAGAATGAATTTAGTCTATGGATGAGTAAAACCAGTCAGGATTATTACTTTTTCCCAAACTGAACTAGACAAAAATCACTAAAGTTTACAATATTAGGCATTCATACAGCATGTTTGGGATTTGACAATACAGTTAATTCATTTTTATTTTGAATTAGATAAGAAAGATAGCTTTCGTTTCATTTCATTGATCCCAGGCTTAGTCTTGAACCTATAGCAACTGAGTCTTCGGGAGGTTTAATAGCAAGCAGGAGAGCACCAGGGTGCAGCCCTGGCTGGGGGTGGATGGAAAGCTGTCCTAGTCTCCTGATCTAACTGTGCTCTGCCTCCTGCTGTGCCCTTAGAGAACGCAGCCTCACCTTTGAAAGAGGCCAAAAATCTGCCTGAGTTACTCGAGGATCAACTGTTAATGTCCCTTGGTTATTCTGAACCCTCGTCCATAGTATCATCAAATCTCAACATTGAAAGAAAAACTGTAGAGTCCAGCCCCTCTGTCAGAACTTCACAGGAAAAGGAGTTTCTCATTCCTGCCGACTCAGCCTGTCCTGTGTGGCTGTCCTGAGCCATGAGCTGAACTCTACACCACCACCAGCTCCTGCCCAACTAGGTCTTACTCTTCCTTTTGATTAATTTATATAGCCACTGCTGACTGAATCAGATTTTTAAAAGGCACTATAATAATTAACCTGAATCTAAAGAAATGCAAGATGTGATGAAACTGAATATCTAAGCTGTTTCCTTTTCTAGGCTAAAATTTAAAGGCCTGATGCCTAACCTCTTCCTCCTCTCCTGCAATTGGCTAAAGTAAATATGCACATTTATCTCATTTAACCTGCCTTAGAAGTGCTTTTTCATTCCCAGGCTTTTTTTTTTTTTTGAGAGCTAAAAGCACTGTTGTCACATAAAACTGCTTTCTGCACAGCACTGGAACCATACCACTTCCATGAAGTTCACCAAAACTCACCTTGACAACCACTGGGATCATCAAGCATTAAGAAGACAGGGGAGTTTTTTTGTTTTCAAAAGCCAATGGGCTAGAAGTTGAGTTATAGCCCAGACCTGAGAGGTGAGATCTGTCCCCCTCCTGGAAGTGACCTCTAGGCCCTTGATGCCAGATTGTGTCTGAAGTCACAATATCTTTTCTCTTCTCTTCCCTGCTCTACGTCTCCTTTCCTATCATTTCCGTATTCCTACAGTCCTTCATTTCATTTCTTGAAATATTTTTAAAAGACTGCTTTTCTGAAAACCATGTTCCAATTTAGCTGCTGGACAGAGAAAGGATGCAGGAATCTCTTCTGGCCAGCAGAGGGCGCACTTGCCCTAGACCATCAGTCACCTCCTGGGGCTTTCTTAGGACTTTATTGTGACTGGAGTGTGAAGCTAGGGTCTGCCATTGATGACCCGGAAGAGGATTAAGTGTTTCAAGTGGCATTTCATCTGTAACTCAACTCTACTGAAATCTAAAAGGTACCCTTCCCTCCTGAAAACAGTTAAAGTGTGGTAGGGCTCTCGGCAAAAAGCTACAGCCTCCGTCTACTTCCACTTGCCCGGACAAAGGTTGATCCTGTGGTTGGACGGCAGTGAGTAAATGTTGATTTTAAACAACTAGTGAGTCAACTCCCCTGGCCACGTTGCTGTTTCTCTGGAAAGAAGGGAAGTGAATTTTACGAGGCACCATATGTTCACCTGTAGCACAGCACTTCACTAAATGGCATTTTGGAGAAAATACTTAGTCTTCAACACACACCTGTATAGAAAAGATGAGCCTCATTCCTTCCGATCTGACCATAGCTTTACCTCAAGTCCAGTCAGAGAACGGTGAATCTGCTTCTCCTCGCCCACTGTACACTGTGTCCCTCTTGGACTAAACAGTTACCACGCATCTGCATTAATGAAAACACAACTGAGAGTCAATATTTAAAAAGACAAAATTAGAAACATTTGCTACCTTTTCCAGACTTCTCCTCGATGGATCTGAAAACATCACAAGTGGCTGTTTCTTCAAATACTCAGACTGAATCCTAACATCTAAAGAGAATGCTGACTCATACATGACTAAGCTGTAGGTTACAGGGAAGACTAAACATTTATTTAGACATTACAGTGTTTATTTTTACAGAGATATGTTGCCACAGATTATTGATTCTGGAAGGTTTGTTAATGCTTACAGTACTATACACATCTTAGTCTAGTCTCACGGGCATCTTGGGAAAACGTTTCCTTTAGCACCAGATCCAGCCACTGTCACGGGTGGCTGCAGCCTCTGATCGCACGGCCCTGGCCCTTCTCTTGCAGTCACTGTGCCTAGGAGTCCTCCTTCCACGGGCTTCTCTGTGGGCCTTCTGCAGGGGCCCAGGCAGCGGCGGAGGGTCTAAGGGACGGGCTGCCTCCTCAGTCTGTGCTGCTCTTTCCCGGTTGACTCCGGTTCCGTTGCGGCTTCTTTGCTTCCCACCTCAGACCTCAGTGGGGAGGATTCCCTATGTCTCTCCAGAATTATAAAAACATATACATTTATTTACAAGTGCATAAATATATAAATATGGCTATTATAGAAAAATAAATACCAATTTTCTCTCTTTTTTAAAGAAACAACAATATATAGTGTCTTTCTGGGATATCAGCTTCTGCCTAAATTGTAGGAGGTGGTATTTCAAAAGACATGTGAACCGGTGGGCTGGGGGAGAGCCGCATCCCAAGTTCCTGCCCTACGTAGGCCCCCATGGGGTGCTGGGGACACCAGTCTCCTCTCCCCGCAGGGCAGGAGTCAGGACTGGCCACCTCTTCAACCGGTACGAGGCCCAAGCAGCACCGGGACCCTGAGGGGAGAGAAAAGTGGGAAACGTTAGAATCCAGACTGACCAGGAACTAGTGCTCAGCAGTACTGGGTCACCCTCTCTCTGGGCTCTCTCTGGGAGCTGGTTACTGGCTTTAGAGGAAGGACAGAGACCTACAACCACAAAAAGGACAATTACACTCCCTCTAAGTATGGGCCACTTCTTACCCACGTCCCACCTGCACATTTCAGTGGTGAAAGCGTGGAGACCCTCATGCATCTACCCTATAACCAGGGGCAGATGACGTCACTGAGCCCAGGAACCGTGCAAGAAAGTTCTGCTCTCTCCAGGTGTGGGCTGCTAGTACACCCTTCTGCTATGCTTTCTGGCCATGAGCATCTCACTCACAACTCGTGCCCCCCGATGGAGGGAGTCCCGTGTAGATGCTACTGGGGTCTGGCTCTAGGAGGTACCTGTCTTAGAATTTCATCTCCCAGGGTCTGGGAGCTGCATGTGACCTGGAAGCCACACCGTGGAGGCTATAAGAAACAGCAGCTAATTCTCTGAACCAGCCTGTGCCCAACCAGGTATCAAAAAGATGGGCACAAAGAAGGACAGTGGGCTGGGCGCGCTGTGCATCGAGTCCCTAGGAGGGAAAGTTCTCTGGAAGCACAGAGTTCTGATGATGTGAGAACCTGGCTTAATGATGGATGCAACCTCATTCCTTAATTAAGAGACAAGACCCAGCAAAGCAAGGTACTTCGGAGTGATTAGAGAGTGCCTCTTAGTGTGATGAGAGGCGGCGGGAATTGGTGAGTGGCCTTGAGATGCTGAGACCAAAAGGGCTTCTTTCCCTGAAATGGAGAAGTGCCCGTTCTCTCAGCCTTTGAGGACAGAGCTTGCCATGTTGGACCCACCTGACACTCCCTGCAGATGTGCTGGGCCTTCAGCAGGGAAGGAGGTGGCCAGCTCCCCTTTGCACCCCCATCTCAGATATACAAGCTGTGGACGGTCTTTACCAGACACCGCCTTCAGGGACTGTTCTCACCCCGCCTGCACGTCACTCCCGGGTCGTGGACGCCTACACCTCACCTCATCCCCAGCCTGTTCAACCGCCCGCCCTGCCCTCAGCACTGACCTGGGTGAGAAAGAGGGTCCCACGTGGCTTCCAGCCCAGGACCCTGGGGTACACGCCTCATGCCGGGCTGGCCCGTGGCTGCTGGCTGCCCCTGGAGGTGGTGGCAGTCCTGCTGAGGCTGGAGCAGCTGGCAAGCTGAGTCATCGGGCAGCGTGTATAAGAGCGAGCCCTCGTCCGGGTTCGACTTGGGAGCCCTGCGTGCACAAAACCAGGCGGAGGGGTGAGGCAGGGGCAGCGTGGGCCTGGATCCCACTGCCCTGGATACTCCCGTCTGGGGCAGCAGAGCTGGGCAGGGCTCAGGCGGGGCAGGGGCTGCTCCCCTTTGGACATCAAAAGGTGCCACACCATCGCTTCCACAGGCAATTCTAGTCTCCTTCCATGCGACTCCACGCGCGTCCTGAGTACATGAGAGGACGTGGGGCCTATGGGCAGAGCCAGCTGGGTGGGGCTGCTCTGGCCTGAGAAGTGAGGGAGGAATTGCTGAGCAGAAAAGGCATCATAACTGCAAACACAACAACTGACCCCCTTAGGCTAAGAGTCCAGGGGAGGGCTTCCCTGGTGGCGCAATGGTTGAGAGTCCGCCTGCCGATGCAGGAGACACGGGTTCGTGCCCCGGTCCGGGAAGATCCCACATGCCGCGGTGCGGCTGGACCCGTGAGCCATGGCCGCTGAGCCTGCGCGTCGTGCGTCTGGAGCCTGTGCTCCGCAACGGGAGAGGCCACAGCAGTGAGAGGCCCGCGTACCGAGGAAAAAAAAAAAAAAAAAGTCCAGGGGAGCAGTTTGTCAGATGAGGGGATCGTGAGTGAAGCACTTGTGCTCACCTCTCAGTGATCCATGCTGGGTTTGAGGAACTAGTGAGAGCGAGCGCTGGGGCTCAGGGGTGGAAGGCAGGGAGGGGCCTGGGTACCTGGGAATCTGGTGACTGGGGGGGTCACGTCCACTGCCAAGAACGGTCTGCCTCAGCGTGCTGTCGGTGTCATCCTGCTGCTCAAACGAGGAACGAGAAGGTCACGTCAGAGAGTCCAGGTAACTTCCCCATTCGTTGTTCAGCAGGCCCAGCAGCCCGGGATTAGAGGCTAGAAGGGAGGGAGCCTCAGGAGGTGGCCCGGCCACGCCCTCCATGGTGACCCATCCCTGTATGCCCACACTCCCAGAACTACGTTACCTGCTGAAGCTCCCCTGGGCGGCGCTGCTGAGGCTTCATGCCTGGGTAGCCCATGGCAGCTGCAGGGCAGGCCGTGTTCACATGTACCCCATTGGTACAGGCCCGTCCGCTGGTGCCACTGAGGTAGGGCTGCCCATTGGCTCGGTGGCCTGGGAGCCCTCCCAGTGGTACCATAGTGTATTGGCAGGAGGAGGGCAGAAGGGCACTTCGAGGAAAACCCAGGTCTGTTGTATGTTCTGGAAGAACAGAAGGATAGAGCTACGCTTAGGTCAAGGAGGCCTGGGACAGCTTGAAAAAGTCCCACGTGAATCTCAGAAAACTCCTGAGGACTTAAAGGTCAAATGAGGTAGGCGGGGAGTTGACATCGCGCCAGGGTAGAGAATATTCTTTCTCTCGGAAAATTCTTCCTGTCTCCCACTTCTTCCTAACATCTAGACTTTTTTTTTTGTTTTTTGCAGTAGGGAGAGGAGACACAGGACCAGGATTTGGGAGAATGAAGTGGCAAGTTAACACAAGGAACAATATTTAAATGAAGCAAGTTGACCAGATGTGTTACCGTCTGAAGCAGAAATCAGTGGATAAATCAGATTAACCTAGGATTAGGGGGAAAGCTCGAGGGAGCCACAGACCTAGAGAGGCGGGAAGAGGCAGGGTCAACTGAAAGTATGAGTACGTGGTCAGAGCTTGAGACAGTAAAAGAAAACAGAGCCAGCTAAGTACTGAGCTCCAGGGATGCAGAGAACACAGACCGACTCCCCACTTCATCCTCTCCATCTGCCAACATCTATGAGCCGAAGGGAAGGCCCCATCTGTGAGCGTTCTCCGACTCTCTCCAAGCCCTCTGGGGGACCCACCAGGAACTTGAGCTCCCATGTGTGAAGCAGGGCGCCTGGGATCCTGCCCTGGGCAGAGGCCTCCTTAGGAACTGGGAGACCCCTCCTCCCCTCACCCCCGCCCCAGGCTCCTTCCCCTTGGTGTTGAGGACGGTCACTCACTCACTTTGCTTAGACCAGGCCCTCCACAAGCAGAAGGGGATGAAGGCAACGATGATGAGGACGATGGAGCCCAGGACGACCCCGACGATCAGGTAGGGCAGGTCGCTGGAGCGGGCCACCATGGCCCCTGTGCCCACCGGCCGCTCTATGGTTTCATGGGGTGGTAGCTGTGGCGGGGCCAGAGTTGGGGGTGGGAGTCGACCAGGCTGGCCAGAAGACTTCCGGGCTGTTAATTGGGACAAAACTCACGTCAGCCTCTATTTCTTTGACATTTCCTTTCATGAAAAATAGGAAAACAATATCCTGATTCCATGGGTGTGAGAAGCTGGGTCAAACTTGTAAGACAGGGCCTTCGGATGAGTGTGGTGTCCAAGCTCAGCGTGAAACTGACCTCTAAGGTGAAATTGGGCGTCGCTGAAGACACTTGAGCCTTATACTTCAAAAACACCCTGAGATATTTGTGGACCAAGCACTAGGGGCAGACTGGGTCTTTGGGGGCAGAAGTGGTATAGGGGTTTTCTAGAAGCATAGCTGGGGAACTTCTGGAAGAAAATATAAGAAGTACCTGAAAGCAGAAAGAACTGGGAATGGAAGAACTTCCCCGTGAATTTGCTATTCCTGGGTGCACCGAGAGATATGAAGTCCTAGGTCTGAGCTGGGGTGCAGAGCAGGGAGACGGGGTTCGGGGCTCACTAGGACTGACAGTGCTAGAGAAATGCCAATCCGAAAGTTTACGAGGTGGCAACCTCGGCATCTGGCTTTTGCCGTTATCAGGATGTATCTGACATCGTTAACTCCTTTTCGCAGCCGTCCTCCCCCATGACTTTCTGATACTACAGTCTTCTGGGTTTCCCGTAACCTCTCTGCCGCTGCTGCTTACATTTCTCTCTTCCTGCCCTTTTCTTCCTGTCTTTGCCTCAGACACTGAGAAGTCTTCTAGTCCCTCTCAGACTACACTCTGTCTTCTTCCCTCTATTCCCGTGATCTCAGCCTACATCCCAGTGACCGCCAAATACCCTTACCCAGGGTCCACCCTGGGCAGGAGACCTGCTTCCCTCACGGGACACTTGCATTTCAACGTCTCAGAAGAATCAGACTCAGGTACGCCTCCAAGTGGTTCACGTTGTTCCTTTCTTGTGGAAGCGAGTTCCCCGCTGGCTTTTCCCCTTTTCGATAGATGGCATGACCACCTGTGTGTTTCTTCAAGTTCAAAACCTCAAGGTTTACGCTGAACTCCTTTCACTCTCTCCCAGCCTCAACACACTATCAGTCCCTGGTCCTCCCTACGCTCCCTCACAAAAGAGGCTCAAACCCACCCCTTCTCTTCACCTTTCCTTCGCGGCCCCCGTTCTCTCCCCTCAGCCCATTCCTGCATAGTCACCAGTGACCCTTCCTGACAAACAAATCTAACGACGACCCCTCTCCACCTCACAGCCCACAGGGTCCCTGATGCCCGTGGCCTCTTCCCTGAGCACTGCCCTCTCTCGTCCTTCCAGTGCCACATCCTCCCGCCATGTGGAGCTACGTGAAGGCTTGTCCTATGCCCCAGGCCACTGCCTCCACCCTGCTGAAGGTTCAGTCCTTCCAGAAGACCAATGTGAAGGCTGTGTGAAGTCTCTGTTCTTTGCCCCGGGCACTCTGCGTGTCCCCTGACACAGGAATGCTGGCTGTGTGTGCATCTGCCCCTCACTGTATGTGACAGAAGAGGGCAGGAAGGGCACACAGGAGACAGAATGTTGCCGTGACAGGAAAATGGATCGTTTTCTTGGCTCTATCCCTGTTCCTCTGGGATCTTCTCCTGATTACATTTTTTTGCAATACACCTTTCAGTATTTGCAAAATGGAAATGATATCTATCCACTTGACCGATGTGCAAAATTCAAGTTATTATATGAATGTATTTAACGTGTTTTAGTGCAGGGAAAGAGTCTGGGCTTGTAGTTGGACAAACTTGGCCCAAAGTGTGCTCCACCGCTAACCAGCTGTGTGACCTTGGTCAAGGTATAACATGTCCTGATGCTCAGTTTCTTTCTTTTCCCGTGGGGTTGTAGTTAAATTAAGTAAACTAACCAATGTGAGTACCAAATGTTACTGTAGGAATAAAGTGTTTATAGAAAGCTCCCAACTTAAGAGTGGGTTCTAACGCACGAGTTCACGTGTGGGTTAATTCCCAAGCTCCATGAGACCGTCATGATGGCAGCCCACTCGTACTTAATACGGAGCACAGGCAGAGGAAGAGAAGGGTTAAGATGACAAAGTTTGGGGATACTTGGAAAATAAGGAGTCATTCTGGAGAAGAGATACCCAGCATGGCACACAGAGCAGTGACGTTGCCCTAGTCTGCTGGGGGGAGAGCAAGAGGAGATCAGAGAACCCAAAGAGATCACCTTTGGTTTCACAGATCATCACGTTGCTGAACTCACTCTCCCCTCCTTCGTTGAAGCACTGCATCTTAATGTCATAGGAGGTCTCCGGCTGCAGGTGGCTGATGGAGTGCCAGTATCTATCCCCTGGGAAAGACAGAGAGAGAGTCAGCGTGATGATTATGCATGTGGCTTGCTTGGCCCCCACTGGAGGCAATGTTCTAGGTGCCCACCATGTTCCTGTTGTCCCATCACCATGGAACGAAGCATGTGGGTTTATGAACTCAATGACCCCAAGTGTGTCCAGAAAGAGCCAACGATGTGGGGCAGGCCAGCCCACGTTTTCTACTTTCACCAACTCCTAGAGCCCCTTGCCAACAGAGGAAACTATCTCACACACGTGTTTCTCACCTTCCACCATATCCTTCTTGTAGTCACTATCATTGTCACTGTCCGTGGGTCGGTAATAGATATAAAAGCCATGGATTGGGGTGTTGTTGTTACTTGCTGGAATATACTACAGGGAAGAAAGAAGAAACAAGTTGACAATGGAGCAGAGAAATCATCGTGTGATCAAAACCACTGGGGGATGGAAACTTTACCCTGGCCTAGAGTTTAAAACTCACTGGAGACCCTGACCAGGGGTTGGGCCTGGGCCTTCAGGGTGGGGACATAAAGTCCAGGACGCTGGAACACCAGAGAATTCCCGGGCCCAGGGAATATTAATTGGCGTGCACGTTCCTGAAGGTATCCATATCAACACCAAGACCCGACCCCACACAACTGCCTGCAGGCTCCAGTGCCAAACACCTCACACCAAACAACCAGCAAGACAGGAACACAGGCCCACCCATCAGTAGATAGGCTACCTAAAGTTGTACTAAGTTCACAGACACCCCAAAACAGACCATCTGATGCAGCCCTGCCCATCAAGAGGGAAAAGACTCAACTCCACCCAAAAGAGCACGGGCACCAGGTACTCCCACCAGGAACCCTGCACAAGCCCCTGGACCAACCTCACCCAGCAGGGAGCAGTCAACAGAAACAAGAAGAACTACGACCCTGCAGCCTGCAGAAAGAAGACCATAAACAAAGTAGGTTAGACAAAATGAAACGACAGAGAAATACTCTGCAGACAAAGGAGCAAGGTAAACTCCCACAAGACCAAATAAATGAAGAGGAAATAGGCAAGCTGTCTGAAAAAGAATTCAGAGCAATGATAATAAAGATGATCCAAGATCTAGGAAATAGAATGGGGAAAATACAAGAAACATTTAACAAGGACCTGCAAGAACTAAAGAAGAAACAAACAGTGATGAACCACATAATAACTGAAATGAAAAATACATATGAAGCAATCAACAGCAGAATAACCAAGGCAGAAGAACGAATAAGTGAGCTGGAAGATACAATGGTGGAGTTAACTGCCAAGGAACAGAAGAAAGAAAAAAGAATGAAAAGAATTGAGGACAGTCTAAGAGACCTCTGGGACAACATCGAACACACCAACATTCGAATTATAGGGGTCCCAGAAGAAGACGAGGAAGGGAAAGGGCCGAGAAAATATTCGAAGAGATTATAGTTGAAAACTTCCCTAACATGGGAGAAGAAATAGTCAACCAAGTCTAGGAAGCACAGAGTTCCATACAAGATAAACCCAAGGAGAAACACACCGAGACACATGTTAATCAAACTAACAAAAATTAAATACAAAGAAAAAATATTAAAAGCAGCAAGGGAAAAGCAACAAATAACCTACAAGGGAATCCCCATAAGGTTATCAGCTGATTTTTCAGCAGAAAATTTGCAGGCCAGAAGGGAATGGCAGGACATATTTAAAGCGATGAAAGGGAAAAACCTACAACCAAGATTACTCTACCCAGCAAGGATCTCATTCAGATTCGATGGAGAAATCAAAAGCTTTACAGACAAGCAAAAGCTAAGAGAATTCAGCACCACCAAACCAGCTTTACAACAAATGCTAAAGGAACTTCTCTGGGAGGGAAACACAAGAAAAGAAAAAGACCTACAAGAATAAACCCAAAACAATTAAGAAAATGGGAATAGGAATTACCTTAATTCCTATAATTACCTTAAATGTAAATGGATTAAATGCCCCAACCAAAAGACAGACTGGCTGAATGGATACAAAAACAAGATCTATATATATGCTGTCTGCAAGAGACCCACTTCAGACCTAGTGACACATACAGACTGAAAGTGAGGGGATGGAAAAGGATATTCCATGCAAATGGGAATCAAAAAAGCTGGAGTAGCAATACTCATGTCAAACAAGATAGACTTTAAAATAAAGACTACTACAAGAGACAAGGAAGGACACTACATAATGATCAAAGGATCAATCCAAGAAGAAGATATAACAATTGTAAATACCTATGCTCCCAACATAGGAGCACCTCAATACATAAGCAAATGCTAACAGCCATAAAAGGAGAAATCGACAGTAACACAATAATAGTGGGGGACTTTAACCCTCCACTTACACCAATGGACAGATCATACAAAATGAAAATAAATAAGGAAACACAAGCTTTAAATGACACATTAGACAAGATGGGCTTAACTGATATTTATAGGACATTCCACCCGAAAGTGGCAGAATACACTTTCTTCTCAAGTGCTCATGGAACATTCTCCAGGATAGATCACATCTTGGGTCACCAATCAAGCCTCAGTAAATTTAAGAAAACTGAAATCACAGTCAGCATCTTTTCCAACCACAATGCTCTGAGATTAGAAATCAATTACAAGAAAAAAACTGTAAAAAATACAAACACATGGAGGCTAAACAATACGCTACTAAATAACCAAGAGATAACTGAAGAAATCAAAGAGGAAATCAAAAAATACCTAGAAACAAATGACAATGAAAAGGCGATGACCCAAAATCTATGGGATGCAGCAAAAGCTGTTCTAAGAGGGACGTTTATAGCAATACAGTCTTACCTCAAGAAACATCTCAAATAAACAACCTAACCTTACACCTAAAGCAACTAGAGAAAGAAGAACAAACAAAACCCAAAGTTAGTAGAAGGAAAGAAATCATAAAGCTCAGATCAGAAATAAAAAGAAGTGAAGGAAACGATAGCAAAGATCGATAAAACTAGAAGCTGGTTCTTTGAGAAGAAAAACAAAATTGATAAACCTTTAGCCAGACTCATCAAGAAAAAAAGGGAGAGGACTCAAATCAGTAAAATTAGAAATGAAATGGAGAAGTTACAACTGACACCATAGAAATACAAAGAATCATAAGAGAGTACTACAAGCAACTATATGCCAATAAAATGGACAACCTGGATGAAATGGACAAATTCTTAGAAAAGTGCAACCTTCCAAGACTGAACCAAGAAGAAACAGAAAATATGAACAGACCAATCACAAGTAATAAAATTGAAACTGTGATTAAAAGCCTTCCAACAAGCAAAAGTTCAGGACCAGATGGCTTCACAGGTGAATTCCATAAGACATTTAAAGGAAGAGTTAACACCTATCCTTCTCAAACTCTTCCAAAAAATTGCAGAGGATGGAACACTCCCAAACTCATTCTATGAGACTACCATCATCCATCCTGATAACCAAAATCAGACAAAGATATCACAAAACAAGAAAACTACAGGCCAGTATCACTGATGAACACAGACGCAAAAATCTTCAACAAAATACTAGTGAACAGAATCTGACAGCACATTAAAAGGATCATACACCATGATCAAATGGGGTTTATCCCAGGGATGCAAGGATTCTCCAATATATGCAAATCAATCAGTGTGCTACACCACATAATTAAATTAAAGAATAAAAACCATATGATCATCTCAATAGATGCAGAAAAAGCTTTCAACAAAATTGAGTACTGATTTATGATAAAAAAAAAAACTCTTCAGAAAGTGGGTATAGAGGGAACCTACCTCAACATAATAAAGGCCATATATGACAATCCCACAGTAAACATTATTCTCAATGGTGAAAAGTTGAAAGCGTTTCCTCTAAGATCAGAACAAGACAAGGGTGTCCACTCTCGCCACTATTATTCAACATAGTTTTGGAAGTCCTAGCCAAGGCAATCAGAGAAGAAAAAGAAATAAAAGAATCCAAATTGGAAAAGAAGAAGTAAAACGGTCACTGTTTGCAGATGACATGATACTATACATAGAAAATCCTAAAGATGCCACCAGACAACTACTAGAGCTAATCAATGAATTTGGTAAAGTTGCAGGATACAAAATTAATACACAGAAATCTCTTGCATTCCTATACACTAACAATGCAAAGGCAGAAAGAGAAATTAAGGAAACAATCCCATTTACCACTGCAACAAAAAGAATAAAATACCTAGGAATAAACCTACCTAAGGAGGCAAAAGACCTGTACTCAGAGAACTATAAAACACTGATGAAAGAAATCAAAGATGACATAAACAGATGGAGAGATATATACCATGTTCTTGGATTGGAAGAATCAATATTGTGAAAATGACTATACTACCCAAAGCAATCTAGAGATTCAATGCAATCCCTATCAAATTACCAGTGGCATTTTTTATAGAACTAGAACAAAAAATTTTACAATTTGTTAGGAAATACAAAATACCCCGAATAGCCAAAGCAATCTTAAGAACAGTGAAGCTGGAGGAATCAGGCTCCCTGACTTCAGGCTATACTACAAAGCTACGGTATTCACGTACTGGCACAAAAACAGAAATATAGATCAATGGAACGGGACAGAAAGCCCAGAGATAAACCCATGCACCTATGCTCACCTAATCTATGAGAAAGGAGGTAAGAATATACAATGGAGAAAAGACAGCCTCTTCAATAAGCAGTGCTGGGAAAACTGGACAGCTACATGTAAGAGAATGAAATTAGAACATTCCCTAACACCATACACAAAAATAAACTCAAAATGGATTAAAAACCTAAATGTAAGACCAGACGCTATAAAACTCTTAGAGGAAAATATAGGCAGAACACTCTATGATATAAATCACAGCAAGATCCTTTTTGACCCACCTCCTAGAGAAATGGAAATAAAAACAAAAATAAACAAATGGGACCTAATGAAACGTCAAAGCTTTTGAACAGCAAAGGAAACCATAAACAAGACCAAAAGACAACCCTCAAAATGGGAGAAAATATTTGCAAACGAAGCAACTGACAAAGGATTAATCTCCAAAATATACAAGCAGCTCATGCAGCTCAATATCAAAAAAACAAACAACCCAATCCAAAAATGGGCAGAAGACCTAAATAGACATTTCTCCAAAGGAGACATACAGATGGCCAACAAACACATGAAAAGATGCTCAACATCACTAATTATTAGGGAAATGCAAATCAAAACTACAATGAGGTATCACCTTACACTGGTCAGAATGGCTGATTCTCAATAGAAATAGAGACATAGATGTAGAGAACAAATGTATGGATACCACGGGGGAAAGGGGTGGGAGGGAGGAATTGGGAGATTGGGATTGACACATATACATTACTGATGCTATGTATAAAATAGACAACTGATGGGAACATATTGTATAGCACAGGGAACTCTACCTAATGCACTGTGGTAACCTAAATGGGAAGGAAGTCCAAAAGGGAGGGGATATCTTTGTGTGTATGGCTGATTCGTTTTGTTGTGCAGTGGAGGCTAACACAACATTGTAAAGCAACCATACTCCAATAAAAATTAGTAAAAAATTCACTGGAGACCCTGACAAACATTTCTGATGATCTCCCCAAGGCTCTCTGGACAGTGCTGTAGCGATCACTCATTATTTTATTTAGCCTAGGAGTCCCTAACTTTTGGAGACAAGAAACAAATGGTCATTTCTTCAAAGACTTAAGTCCCGTCTGAAGTTTCCCGGGTATTGTGAGGTTGAGTCCCTCTGGCCCAATTCCCAGGTACGAAGGTGGAGGAACACTTAAAGGGGTAGCAGCCTAGGATGAGCCAAGGGAGAAAGGTGATCCCTTCCTGCCCGGGCTGCAGCGTCCAGCTCCCACCTAACATGGAGCTCAGCACCGTCTTCCGCTGCTGGCTGCGCCAGGCCACTTACCATCCACTTGAGCATGATGGTGGTCTCGTTGACGGCATCGGTGAAGGTGATGTAAGGGCCTGCCACGGGCCTCTCGTACACACGGCCGCTGTAGCCTGACACAGCATAGGGCCGAGAGGGGGCGCTGGGCTCGCTCTCCCCCAGCATGTTCAGAGCCCGGACTCGGAACTTGTAGGAGGTGCCTGGGGAGAGACACTCACTGAACCTGGGGGCTGGGAGACACCATCTCCCTCCCCTTCAGCCCATCCAGGCTCAGGACCTGGAGGGATCTTTTGGGCAGCCCTTCCCCAAAAGCAAGCCCCAAAGGACTTAAGCACTCCTACCCTCATTAGAAAGGAGCCACACAGAGAAAAGGGAACCCTCTTGCACTGTCGGTGGGAATATAAATTGGTATAACTGCTATGGAGAACAGTATGGAGGTTCCTTAAAAAACTAAAAATAGAGCTATACCATATGATCCTGCAATCCCACTCCTGGGCATATATCCAGAGAAAACCATGGTCCGAAAGGATACATGCACCCCAATGTTCACTGCAGCACTGGTTACAATAGCCAAGATGTGGAAGCAATCTAAATGTCCATTGACAGAGGAATGGATAAAGAAGATGTGGTACTTATATACAATGGAATATTACTCAGCCATAAAAAAGAATGAAATAATGCCATTTGCCCCAACATGGATGGACCTAGAGATTGCCACACTGAGTGAAGTTAAGTCAGAGAAAGACAAATATCATATGGTATCCCTTATATGTGGAATCTAAAAAAAAAAAAAAGATACAAATGAACTTACTTACAAAACAGAAACAGACTGACAAGGGGGGGAAGGGTGGGGCGGGGGAGGGATAGTTAGGGAGTTTGGGATTGACGTGTACACACTGCTGTATTTAAAATGGATAACCAACAAGGACCTACTGTATAGCACAGGGAACTCGGCTCAATGGTATGTGGCAGCCTGGATGGGAGGGGAGTCTGAGGGAGAATGGAAAGATGTATATGTATGGCTGAGTCACTTTGCTGTGCACCTGAAACTATCACTACATTGTTAATTGGCTATACTCCAATATAAAATAAAAAGTTTTAAAAAAAATATTATGTAACCTGAACGGGAAAAGAATCTGAAAAAGGATATAACTGTGCTGTACACCTGAAACTAACAAACCATTGTTAATCAACTCTACTCCAATATAAAATAAAAAGTTAAAAAAAAAAAGGACGCACCACACAGGAGGTGGCTTGGGACCAATCATGGAGAGAGGGAGGGAGAAGGAAGGCCTTGTGGGACTGAGGTAACACAACCAAGAGTGGCCACAGGAGCCTGGTGGTGGGTGGACGACAAGCAGAGAGAAGACCCCCCAAAGCTTCCCTTCTCCTCCAGGGGGCCGGGGGCAGCCGGGGGACCAGGGAGGGCAGTGGCCAGGGCCCTACCTTTCTCTAGGCCTGTGATCTCCACCGAGAGTCGGGAGGGAGGGATGGCGCTGGTGGCCAGAATCCAGTCCCCCACTTTCTTCAGCTTCTTGTACTCCACTCGGAAGGACTGGATGGGGAAGCCGCCATTCCCACGTGGAATCCAGGTCACATACACTGAGGTCTCAGAGGCCATGGAGATAGTGGGCCTGTCTGGAGCTTCTGGGGCTGCAGGAGACCATACCCAAGGGAGGAAGGAAGTGGGAGGAAAGGACATGATGAGAAGATGGTTGCAATGTGACTAGACCTGGCCTGTTCCTGATGGGGGCCAGCTTCACCCCACAGCCCTCACGCCCTGGTGGCCGCGTCAGATCTCCCTAGGGCTCTCTGGGTCACTCTCTCCTGGAAGGAGCCCTTGAAAAGCTCCAATCCATATCGCCTCGCTGTGGTTAACTGGGGAGAGGCCAGGAAAATGTCACAAGGACTCCGGGACTCAAGACCGCATTCAACCTGCAGCAGTGAGCCTTCTGAGGCGGTGGACCCGGTTCCAGTTCTGACTGCTCGTCACTCCCGCCCTCGGGGCTGCCGGGGGCTTACGGGACAGGCGGCCGTGGTCCGGCTGGCTGCTGCTCTGGGGGCTGGCTCCAGGGTCATCTCTCTGGATCTGCTGCTCTTTGCTGGCCACGATTTCAGGTTTGGGCCGCCGTCCTGGGTAGAAATGGGTTGAGATCAGCACGAGAGGGAGTGTGCATTAGGTCTCTCTTTGCACACAGTCCTTTCCGCCTGAAGCTCTGCCAGGGGGTCTGACAAGACCATGGAAATAATAGAGGACATTGGAAGTGTGGTCTGAGTTCCAGCTCTGCCCGACAGTCATGAGATTGCACGTGGCCCCCGAGTGTGAAAGGGGCAGAGGGATGCCAGAGGCCAGCTGGTGCCTGTCCTGATACGAGGTGGGACCTCAGCCTAGGCATGCAGACCGGAGGGAGGCAGGAGCTGAAAGGAAGATGAAGTTCAAGGTGAAAAGCTGGGGCAAGGTGAGCAGGACGCCCACCTGGCCTGGTAGGACCGCTCAGGCCCATGGAAGCCCCAAGCTGGGGGCAACACTGGACCCTTACCAGTTCGGAAGGTGACCATGGCCGTCTGGCCTTCGCCTGCACAGTTGTAGGCTGCCATCTCTACTTCATACAAGCTCCCAGGGTCGAGTCTGGTGAGAGTCAGGCGGTGCTGGCTGGCTGGAATGCCAGAGATGGTCCAGTCGTCAGAGGAGTTTGTGACCTGCTGGAGAAGGTGGCTGGTATAAGGACTGGCATCTTGGCCTGGAGCTACAGGTGGGCTGTAGGTTGCAAGGAAAGCAGAACTGAGCCCAAGAGGACAGAAGAAAGGGAGGGAAAATGGGCCAGGTTGGGGGAGAGGTGGCCCTACAGAAGGCAGACCGTTCCTGCTGGCTCTGGGACATCCATCCTTGCTGGGACTCCCTGACCCCTCATCTAATGATCTCATCAAAATTCTGTGGGGAGGGTCAAAATGCCCAGCCGACATTGCTGAGAGTTTCTCCAAAGACCTTCTCTCTTTCTAAAAACCTCCCTATCGCTTCCCGGCCTTTTGCCTAAGATCAAGTGTAAAAACCTCCCTATTTAACTTTCTTTCTCCTCGATCTATTTAAACCAAACACACACAGTACCTTTAGTTTATAGTCTAATGAGATGATGATGAGAATGATAAAAGCATCATAGAAATGGCCACATTTTTTGAGCGCTTACTAGGTGCTAAGCACACTGTATGCACCATAACACGCCTCCACGACAACAGCCCAAGAGATGGGTGTTAATATTGTTCCCACCTCACAAATGCGGAGACTGAGGTTTAGAGAGATGAGCAATTTGTCTAAGACCACATTGCCAGTGAGCACAGAAACCCTGACTTGACTCCAGAGATCAAACTCATCATCGTAACCTACCCTAGAAAGGAAGTCTGGGAGCCAGAAAATCCTGGGTTCAAATCTGGGTTGTGTCTCTTACCACACACACAGGTTACCAGCTGTGTAACCCTGAGCAAGTTCCCTAATCTTTCTGATCCCTAAGCTTTTCTTTTCTAAAATGAAGCAAATAAAACCTCTCAGGTTACTCTGAAGTTTAAATCCGACGATTCACGTGACGTGTCGAACGCTGAAGCTGGCACACAGTAGGTTCCCAACAAGGACATGCCGCGCCCCCTCTTCCTCCGCTCGGTGAGGATTTCATCCTCCTTTTTCTGCTCCTGCCCTCAGGCCTTGCTTAGAACTTAAAAGCCGTGGATGAACGGTAACCATTAGAGATTAATCTTTAATGGCTTCAAATTCCTGGCTCTTTAAAGAAAAAAAAAAAAAAAAGGAGTTCCAGGCTTCCGGACAGGCGTTGCCGAGAGGTTGCTTCATCTCACCCACCCACCTTTCAGGACACAGACTTCACTGCTAACTGTGCACATCTCCGCGAGCCTGCTGGGGCCTGAAGCTGTGGTTTGCTGAAGGAATTAAACAGCTGGTAGGAAAAGCTCTTATCCCCAAGCAGAATATTTCAAAATAGAACAAAACCTACTATTCAAGGGACAGGGATGGTCTGGGCTCATTCATGTTAGGCTTCCAGGACTTGTTCCAAAGGGAGAACTTTTTACAAACTGAGAATCCCCAGTGGTGCTGGAAACCCAAACACAGTAGCCCAGGGTCTGCAGATGCACCAGGAAATGAAAGCTGGCTTCATGCATGTGAAAAAGTGAAAATGAGTTGAATTGACTCCCAGTCTCCAGCAAGAGGGGAGGGGCTGAAAAAACACAACCCAAATGCTGATTTTTGCTTTCAAAATCCTTTCTTGTGTGATGATCTCGAAGACACGTTAGTCCCTCAAGAATGAAACTGCTTTCAAGACATAATTGTGCCTTGGCAACGTCCACCTAACAGCTCCAAGTGCCCCACGGGCCAGAGGCGAACAGAAGCCAGACCCAGCGGGGCACCATCGTCTCACTTCCCCTGTGCCCCTTTTCTCCCTCTGCCTCCTAGCGCTGGCCTCACTTCCACTGGGCTCAGAAATGAAAATAAGAAATGGAACGGTAATTAGTCACTGTCACGCATACTGAGAGGGTGAATGCGGCCTCAGCCTGGCGTTTCCGGATCACCTCGTGTGGCCTTTGCCAGCCTGCCTCTTGGTGAGGCCGTTTCATGGCCACCTATTGGCCCGAAAAATATTATTCTTGCTCTCATGTTGGTTCCTGCCTCCTGGGGACCACGAGCATTTGGCCCGCCCTGATCTTTGTCTCCAACTCTGCAGATGGAGGTGTCCAGTTACACGGGGAAGTGAGGATTAGGACCAGCCCTGCCCATAACCTGGGTTGAACAACACGGCTTTTTGTTAAAAACTCATCCACCCCCTTTGCTGGCTGCCTATGAAGAGGCCAGCAGGCCGAGGGTTAATTAGAAACTGCCCCCTCTCGACCCCCACCTAGGAGGCGGCTTTGCCTTAGGTGCCTCTGTGGACCTGTCCTGGCCGGAGGTCTCCTCGGAGAGCGTGTTAAGAGGAAGACCAGAACGACGGGGCTGTCGGGGTCCGGAGCAGGGGCACAGCTTCTGCACAGGCGGCACCTTTCACTGAGTTTCGCTGGTTTTGTTTCTTTTTGGAGACGGAGGCAAGTTGATAAATGCTTTTCGTTCCGCATTCCTATATTTTCCGTATTTTCTACCAAGTGCACATGGTACTTTTGTTAGCAACAACTAAAGAGATGCATAATAAAACCTGGCATTTATGATACATTATTACTTATCAAATAAGATTTAAAAAATCCATTAAGAATAATTTTCTACTGTCTAATGCCCTTAGGAAAAGAACAGCATGCACCTGGGATAAACAGAAATGTTTTCAAGGATATTTTCTTAAGGGGAATTTCATGTCCTTCTCCCCTGAGGGGTCACAGCAGGTGAGAGTGCAGCCTTGAACGGGGGTTGCGGGGGGGGGGGGGGGGGGGGGGGGGGGGGTGGCAGCCCGGGGGCTGCGTCCTGTCTCGGAGGGCAGAGTGTCTAAGAAGGTGGGCCGGATCCCTCCCTGAGAGCTCCCAACACATCCACCTGGACAGACCTCCTCCTGCCAAGGAGAAATAGCTGAGGTCTGAACAACACAATGTGCTTTTAGCTCAAAGGCCTGCTTGTCAAAGCTGAGCCAGGAGGGATCCTGAGAACTGAGGCAGTATTTGGTAGCCCTCAGAGAAAACACTTGCTCACAGATATTTGTTTTCCTGGCTCTGAAGCTAGCTTGCCACACCCGGGTTCCTGCAGGTATGCACCAGCAGAGCTTAGATTCAAAACAAAACAAAACATCAACAATGAACGGCAGAGGGGAGGACTGGGGTGGTCATTAGGGAGCCTACGAACTCTCCTCGGGACTAGAGGCTGGTGTGCGAGGCTCAGACCTGGAAGCACACCCACGGCTTCTTCCCGGGCCTCTTAGGGCCCCAGATGCCCATCTCACAACCAGCTTCCCGGGAGGTGGTGGGAAAGCACGCCGGAGGGATCAGAAGGTCACGATCAACAGCAGATACGACTCATCCAGGCTTCAGGAGCTCAAGGGGAGATGGCCAGCGGGCGGAGGCCCCCGCCCAGCCTCAGCGAGAGGCAGGCGTAATGCCAGACACCATACCTTGCGGTGTTTCACCACATAGTAGAGGATCGGTGCCCAGCCGCTGCCCTCGTGCCGAGGCCGCCACACCAGCTCGTACGAGTCAGTCTTGGAGGTGCGGGGCGAGCTGAGGATGACAGGAGCCTCGGCGGGGGCCGCCTGCCCCTGCTCTCCCAGGCACGGCCAGGGCGCTGGCAGCGCCGATGCCGGCGGCCTCAGGGCCCCGGGATGGCCCTTCGGCATCTGGGCAGGGCTTCCGGGTCCGGGCGGGGGCACAGGAGCTGTGGCAGTGGCCGGCTTAGCATCCCGCCATGGCCTCAGGGTGGTGCCTGGAGGACAGAGCCGGAAGGAGAAGGTAAGGAAGAGCCCTTAGTCCCCTGGCCACCTGCTGAGCTGTTGTCTCCATGGAGAAAACAGGGAGAAGTCAGAGGGAAGGGCTGCCAGGGCAGGAAGAGCCCCTGGCTCAGGACGTGAAGTGACCATCAGCCCACTGGACACACAGCCGGGCTCCGTGGGGGTAGAGGGCTGTGCCCCAGCCTGGCCAGGAGGGAAAGGCAGCTGGACGCCCCTGCCCGGGCTTCTCGCCACCGGCTTGTTTTCCTGTGTCTGCACCAGGTGCGTCTGAGCAAACCATCTCAATTTGCTCCTGAGGTGCAGGAGCCTGCGTCCTTTTTCTCACATTCTGTGTGGGTGTGGGGACGTGTCCCCTTCCCTGTGGGATCCACACCATGGGACAGTGTGGGCCTCTCCCTGCTCCACTGCGGGGACCTGGAGGTGCGAACTGTGAATGTAAATACGTCTGAGACTCTCAGAGGCAGGAGGGGCCGCTCCTCCTTCAGGAAGCGTCCACAGACTCCGCCAACACTAGTTTCTGCTGCCCGACCTCCTGCGCAGGAGGTCGGCTCCTGATAAAGACGAGTCAGCATTACTCCTTGCTGTGTTTTTCTCCAGTTGATTCTTCGGTAAGTTTTATTTCCTCCCTAGGAAAGGTAGGGTCTCTGCATCCCCCTCATTGCCTAGCCCAGTGCTGAGCAAATAGCAACTGCTCAATCCATGCAGATGTCAACTGAAAGGAATCAAACTAAGAAAGACAGAAGTGCTTTCCTTTGTGCTAGACCAGTGGCTGTCCAGCTGGGTTCCACGGAACTCTCGGAAGCCACAGGTTCTGCAAACCAATTTAAAAGGTTTGTTTTTTTTTTTTAAATACAGTATTTAAATGGGTCATCTGCACTACTAAAAATCTGCACTTCTGACTTATTAGGAAGTCAATGTAAATTTAAACTTACAACTAAAAGCCACTTTTATTTATTTTATATACTGGGGTTTTAAGCTGGATTCCATTTGAGAAAAGGGTTCTATAAACGTTCAGCTGGAATCTCAGACCCTTGGGCTGCACTCACCCGGCCTGGCGGTCCTCAGCTGGACCACAGCGTGGGCGCTCCCGACTTCATTCTCGGCCATGCACTGGTAGACGCCTTCATCCTCGGGCCCTACACTGACCACCCGCAGGGCCCTACGGGACAGTCGGAGGCGCTGGCTGGAGGTGAGGGGCACGGCGTTCCTTAGCCACAGCACGGAGGGCGGGGGGTTCCCTCGCACCTCACAGGTGAGCTTGGCGCTCTGGCCCCAAGGGATGACCAGCTGGGACAGCTCCATGGTGACCTCGGGGGGTTCTGCCAGGAAACCAGAGCAGAGGTAAGAAAGGCTGAGCCCTTCCGTCCAGGCCCAGACAGGCTGGGGAGGGGACTGCTGTTGGGCAAGGCTCCCTCCTTCCCCATGATGTTGGTAGAGGAGAGAAAAGGTCCCATGTCTCCTCCATCAGAGTCTTGACAGGGAAGGGCTACCGGGCCCCTACAGCCTGGCCCCTGGGATCCAAGGCCTCCTACTCTCTCAGTTCTCCTCCATCACTCACTTGGCACGTGACCTCTCACAAGGCACGTGACCCTGTCTGAGCCTCAGCTTATGAGCTTCTAGAGAGGCCGTGCAGATGAGAGAAGGCCCAGGAAAAGAAGGACTACAGAAGACACTCACCGAACACCTGGACGTTGTAGAGGATGACCGCGGCCCCGGGATCCCCAACCCCGTTGTCAGCCATGCAGCGGTAGGTCCCGGAGTCCTCGTCACTGGTGGTGTCGATGAGGAGGTTGCTCAGCAGGAAGCGTGTCTTGTTGTAGCTGGCGACACTGGACCCATCCTTGGCCCAGGTGACCCTTGGGGGTGGGATCCCACCGGCCACACACTCCAGGATGAGACTCTGGCCTTTGGTGACGACGATGGTCTGGGCCTCTGGCGGGTAGATGATGCGGGCAGCCTCAGCAGTGGAGCCTGGAGGGGCAAGGAGAGGAAGGACAGCGTGTAGGACCAGGACTGGGCGCAGAGGATCCCCTCCGCCCTGCCTCAGGTGGCCCAGCCCCAGGCGGCAGCCTGGAGACTGTGGATTTGGAATCAAACAGCTCTTCAGGGGCTTATGACCTATGCCAAGTGGGGCAAGATACTAATTCCCTTGGGCTCCCCGAGGTCTTCCTGCAGAGAGCTGTCAGGAGGAAGAAGTGAGACAGCAGTGCAGCAGTAGCATCAACACAACACATGCCGGATGCCCCTCCGGCCCCAGCCCCCCTCCGTCAATGAGACCCTCCCCTTACGGCGCACGCGCAGCCTGTCACTGGTGCCCGAGGTTTTCACTTCCTGGGTCACTGGGTTGTAGGCGGCGCACTTGTACATCCCCTCGTCCTCCTGGCTGGCGTTCACGATCTGCAGGTTCCCCGACGGCATGATCAGGTAGTTATCTGAAGAGAGGACAGGGATGAATGTGGGCCCAGACTACTGCACTCAGCAGCTCCCACAAAGGATCGGGGCAGGCAGGGCCCAAGTCAGAAGTTGTATACCTGAACTCCAACAAGCCCAAACTGAAAATGCTATTCTCCCCATAAAACCTCACGCCTAGTGGGGCGGAAGTGTCGGGAGTGACACTAACCAACCAGCTAACAAACTGGCTGGCTGACACCCCACCACCATCCCAAGTTCATACATGGGTCTGTGGAAGAGCATTTTATAACTTTTAAGGGGGCTTGCGTGCCATGGCAAGGAGGCAGGATTTGGGATCTGCCAGTCCTGGACTCCAGCTCTGGATCTGCCGCATACTAACTGTGTGATCCTGGGCAAGTCCATTAACCTCTCAGATCCTGTTTCCTCATTTGTAAAACAGCATGACGTGTGCTGCCTCAGAGCCATTTGTAAGGACTGAGAGGCCCGTGCTGCACACATGGGAGATGAGCTGATCATTCCTGCAAGCCACCAGGAAGGAGGGAATTGACTTTAGAATTTCCCATCAGTCTCTGTCACGGTCACAGCTCTGAGCCATCTCACTGTTGAATTTCTGCAGCCAGGGAGGGATATTCTAAGCCCCAAGCCCCACCCTCTCCATGAATACCACTGAAGCCCTTCCCCCTGCATCGCTGGCCTGCTAGGCTCTGTCTGCTTCTGGACCAGGGGTGCCATGGGGGTGGGGTCCCAGGGCTGAGTTCAGCTTCTTTCCACAGGAGACAGATTCACAGCGACTCACAGTACACTTGGTGGCTGGGTTGGTGTTTAGCTTCCTGGCAGGCAAAGCACTGGTCATCAGCTTTGAGCTTCCTGGTGGCCTGCCCTTGGCAATCTGGATGTCCCTGCAGTCTAGGCTCATTGAGTCTGGTACCTGGCTGTCACTGGGCCGCCCCAGGTGTGAGCTGCTTAAGGCAAATGCCAGATGGAAAGGAAAAAGCCCTTGACTCTTATGGGATGGGCAGGCCTTCTCTAGGGGCTACTGCCAGGCTTCTGCTAGGGACAATAGACATTCATACTCTCCTCAGTCTCCGGTTATTTCTGAGTGGCAGGATTAGGCTTTTTACCCTTAAAAAAAAAGGTTTTTGTATTTTCTATAGTAAACATATACTCCCCTTTCATAACCAGAAAGTTAACAAAGATATTTTTAAATCTCTAGGACATTTAAAAAGGGACACATTTTGAAGTGTCGGGTCCAGCCATAGGGTCTACTTGGCCTTGGGTGCAGGTCAGTTGTGGAAAGAAGCTGACTTGGCCTTGAGAGAGAGCTTCTCTCCCTGCTGGCACTCTGTGGACGAAAGCCTGGTCGCCACTGGACCAGCTGTCACGTCCACTTAGCAGGAAGCTGTGACTGTTGAGAGGTTGCGTTACCAGCTCTGCTGTGCGGGGGAAGAGCCCCGTCTCCCAACAGGGAACCCCACAGCTCCAGGAATGTCTGGTATGTCAGGCAGCCCTCCTGTGTGTGCCTGGTGGCGGGGAGCTTGCACAGGGAGAGTCTCAGCCCTCATCCATGGCAGCAGCTCAGCAGCATTTGCCAGGGCCTCAAAGGATGAAGAGATTCCTCGCGACAGGTTCACGGGACCTCCACAGCGGAGGCCAATCCCTTCAGGATCCCGCAGGGCTAAATGTCAGGGCAGAAGACAGCTGACGAGCATGGGGAGGGGCTGCCGGCGTGGCGACGGGGGTTTGGGAAGCGCTGCAGAGACGGCCAGCTTCCCTCCTGGCCCCGGCCGCTGGGCTCACCTCTGGAGGCCTCCAGCCACTCGTGTTTGACGCTGTATCGGACCTGGGCTTTGGGGTGGCTCTCAGGAAGGTGACAGGCGATGACCGCCGTGTTCCCCTCATCCACTTCAATCACGTGCTGCACGTCTAACTTGAAGTCCTGGAGATCTGTGGAGAGAAGGGAAGGGGCCGGTTGGGCCTCGATGGCTGACAGAGGCAGACAGTGCGACATTTCAGGGTGGGCTTGTGCCTCCGTGTCTTTGGTCACAATCAACAGCAGCAAGAAGCTCACACACTGCTCTGGGGGCGCTCCGAGTCCTTCCTCCAACCTTTCGGTGTCTAGAGGAGTTTACAGGAGGGAACGTGTGGCCCGCGTCACTGCATGGGGAGCTCAGCTGGGTGTATATAAGCTGAGGGGGCGGGGTGTAGAGAATTCCATGAAGTGATGCGGGTGACGCAGACCAGCCTCTTTTGTTACACTGACATGGGGGCAAGTTGGCTAGGCCCATCGGCCCCACCGAGCCTGGCTGGAAATGGGTCACAGTCAAGGCACAGATGTCCCGGCACAGCTCATGGAGACTGAAAGGAACAACGATAGAGAATGCTTCTGTCTGTTTTCCAGTTCAATCAAGAATCGCCTTCTCCTCAGACATCCACAGTGAAAAGTGAAAGGTCCGAGATTCTGCTCAATTGCTAACCGTGGTTACAACCAGAAGGCTGATTCCTGCTACCCAGGAGCTACGCAGTCCTCCCCAGTATCCTCGGGGATTGGTTCCAGGTGCCCCACTAAAATCGGCGGATGCTCAAGTCCCTTATACAAAATTGTGCTGGACAGCAGTTGCAGTCGGCCTGCCGTATCCTCGGATTTTCCACCTGCAGATTCAGAGAGCCGACCACATGTCGTGTCATGGCTAATTCTTTCTCAGAGCTAAGGATGGGGATCTGTGGATGCCCGAAGGATTTTCTAGGGCAAAGAGGGATGTCCCCAGGGTGGCTTAATGGCAGTGGAATGCGGGCGAGCCGAGGGTCCTGACGCCAGGCTGCAGTCTCTCCTGACTTAGCTCAGTGGCAGGAAGACTGGGATTTAAACTGGAGAGGATGGAGATCCATCTGGAACCAAAGCAGGATGTTTCCTAAACAATCCAACGGTCCAAACAACAAAACTCTCTTTGAGCCAAATCACTGCTGTGGTTGAACAAAACGGGCCATTTGTGCAACAAAACCGCATTCCAAAGTTGGTGTTCAGGATTGTGGCTGCATTTAATTTAAGAGAGGAAATAAAACTAATAGAGAATACGATAAGAGGGATGAAAATATTTACCCAGACACTCTCTCCATAAAGGTACTCAGAAAGCCCTGAGGCACCATCTCAGTGCCGACCACACCACATTCTGATTCGCAGCGTAACTGCAGTTCGCAGCAAGACTCCACCTACCTGTGCGGTTGGTTCCCAGACAAAGCAGAAGGAGCGGTGGGAATCAGGTTTCTCACAGAAGACGTGAGCTAATTACCAAAAACAAACTGCTGTCACCAGAGGAGAGCTCAGTGATCAAGGCACTCAGGGAGGTCAAGAGGTTTCCCATTTAATGGAACTTTCAAGAAGTTCTTAGTCAAGCCAAGCCAGAGCAGGGGAGGAAAGCCCTTTTATTTCTATGAAAGGATCACTGTCCCCTTGATTCCAATATTCGACTGTGAACTTTTTAGGGGCAGGGACCAAGTCTTCTTCATGTATGTGTCCTCTGAACCTAACCAGCGCCTGGCGCAAGGAGATGCTCAGTGAATGCTGGATGACCGATGAGTGACTATCTTGGAGCTGGGCCACTCATGTCAGGTACAAGATGCCCACGCATGTTGCCTGTGAACTCGAATTTCATAGTTGAGTTGGGTCTACAGTATGAGCTCAAGGGCTTAGCACAACAAATTTTCCATGAACCTCTTATCCAAGTGTGGCCAACCTTTATCTAAGTTTGGATATTTTGAAAATAGCATGTTTCTTGAGTGATTACTTCCAGGGTCACAGGAAAAATAGGTGTAATAAATGTGGAATAAGAAATACATGCTGTTGGTCGGGACAAGGTGGCAGAGTAGAAGACCTTGAGCTCACCTCCTCCCACGAGCACACCAAAATCACAACTAACTGCTGAAGAGCCATCAGTAGAAAAGACTGGAACCTACCAAAAAGACATATTCTACATCCAGAGACAAAGAAGGAACCACAACAAGATGGTAGTAGGGGCACACTCGAGATACAATCAAATCCCATACCCCCAGGTGGGCAACCCACAAACTGGAGAATAATTATATCACAGAAGTTCTCCCACGGGAACGAGAGTTCTGAGCCCCATGTCAGGCTCCCCAGCTTGGGGGTCTGGCATCGAGAGGAGGAGACCCCAGAACATTTGGCTTTGAAGGTCAGTGGGGCTTGATCGCAGGAGCTCCACAGGACTGGGGGAAACAGAGATCCACTCTTAGAGGACACACACAAGGCCTTGTGGGCACTGGGACCCAGGGCAAAAGCAGTGACTTCATAGGAGCCTTTGCCAGACCTACCTGCTGGTCTTGGAGGGTCTCCTGGGGAGGCAGGGGGTGGCTGTGGCTCTTTCTTGGGACGTAAAAGCTGGCGGTGAACGTATCGGGATTACTCATCTGAAGGCTGACATCTTGCTTGGGCCATTAGCACCAAGACCTGACCCCGCCCAACAGCCTGCAGGCTCCAGTGCCGGCACACCTCTGCCAAACGACAGTCCCACCCATCAACAGACAGGCTGCTTAAAGACTTCCTGAGCACACAGCCACCTCTAAACACGCTCCTTGACACAGCCCTGCCCACCAGATGGCCAAGACCCAATTCTACCCACCAGTGGGCAGGCACTGGCACCTCCCACCAGGAAGCCTGCACAAGCCTCTAGACCAGCCTCACCCACCGGGGGGGCAGACACCAGAAGCAAGAAAAACAGTCACATAGCCTGCGGAACTGAGTCCAAAAACACAGGTCTGGACCCACCCTGGGACCAGCTGGTCCCTGGCCACCAGGTGACGAGAGGGGAGTGTACTGCTGGGATACACAGGACATCCCCTACTGAGGGTCACTTCTCCATGGCTGAGAAACACAACTAACCTTCCACATACATAAAAATACAAATAGAAGTTTAGACAAAATGACACGACAGAGGAATATGTTCCAGATAAAGGAACAAGGTAAAACCCCAGAAGAACAACTGAGTGACGTGGAGATAGGCAATCTACCAGAGAAAAAGTTCTGAGTAATGATCGTAAAGATGATCCAAGAACTCAGGAAAAGAATGGATGCATAGAGCAAGAAGTTACAAGACGTTTTTAACTAAGAATTAGAAAATATAAAGAACAACCAATCAGTTGAAGAATAACTGAAATGAAAAATACACTAGAAGAAATACATGCTGTTGACCAAGTAGTGTGGCAAAAACAATGACAGAATGCCTGATTCATCTCTATGGCCACAGTTTGCTTTCCAGGCTGAACCAGTGGGTCCTGGGGGTCAAGGTGAGCTCTCTCATGGATTCCTTCCTTTGGGTGGGTGCAGGGCCTTCTGGGCTTTTAAAGAATTATCTCATCGTTATTTAATTTTGTGTTGGTGATAACCAACACAAACTAAGTTGCAAATTCCTAGCGGGCAACCTATTAATTTTGCACTCCATGCCCCCGCCCCAAGCCCCACTGCACCGTCTTCAGGATGCACCATGCTCACTTAGTTCTTGTTGAGTGACTAGTTGGGAAGGCTGTGCCCAAGGCCAGCTTGGTGGGCATGCACGCTGTGCAGCTGTGCCGGGCCCTGCGCTTGGAAGACTTTCCCTTTGCACTGAGCCCCACAGAATATGGAGCCCAGTCTCGGCTGAGCCTCTCAGCCAGGAGAGCGGATGTGTTTTCTCCCAGAGAGAAGGGAGGGTGGACTGCCTGGGCTCAGCGTGTTCTAGCTGGACGTTGCTATCTGCTTTCCCAAGCAAGGCACTTCAGCAATGCAAAGGTCTTAACCCTCCTCAGCACAGGGTGTGCCCTACCTGCCGAGTCAGGAGGCTCCCCACAAAGTGAGCCGTGGGCGATCGTGAGCTCAGGGGCACCTGGAAAATTCCTCAGTCACTGAGAAGCACTCCCATGCACGCTCTAATAAATCTAAAAACGACTCCACCAAGAGTTTCTGAGTTTTTGCTTCACCCTTCTTCTTTACCTCGTTCTAAGAAAATCTGCCTCAAGCAGGAATGTACTTAAGCCTAACAGATCATTTTGCAAGAAAGATGTGAGCAACGGAAAGGAGTCTGGGATCAGAACGCCATCTCCAGCTTAGCCCTTGGCTTCTGCCCCATTGTAACTGAGGTCTTATCCGTGCACGGAGCACGCTGTCCTCCATGTACCCACCTCACTGCCCCAACACTGGATAACACTATGCACTCCCCCTTAAGCCCCTCGTGGTGCCTTCTGCATGCTCGGACAATCCACTGCTGCCTTGGAGACAGCAGGCTGTGTGTGCAGTAGCGGGGGCACTGGTCAGCCATGGCCCCTCTGTTCTGATGCCTACATGTGCACGACAGCCCATGCGGGCAGGACCCAGGACACCCCAGCTGGGCTTCCAGCGCCCCACAAGGGCCGACTGGCAGGCGAGCCTCCTGGCTTCAAAACAAATAAGCAGCAGTTGGGTCCTTGGCCCTGTCCCCCCAAAGCTTAAGCTTTAGCTGTTGCTTCACTAGACAAATGCTCCCAATTTGGCTGCTGGAGCAAAAGTTGAGTTTCACTAAAAAGGGATCAAAGGCAGAGTAATGAAGTGATGGACGATCTGAAAATCAGAGCACCCCCTCTTCTAGCAGTTCTGGGCAGGAAGGAGGCCAGGCAGGGGCAGAGGCTTTGTGATCAATAACACTCTAATCGGCCACCAGATGAGAGGCAGATGCGGGGAGATCTCGTTGGCTGCATAGGAAGGGAAGCAGCCTGTTCTCAGGCCCCCTTGTCTGCAAAGCCAGTTTCCTGAGTCCCTGGGCTGCTCAGAGCGCCTCGCTGGGAGTAAGGGGCAGGCCCTTCAGTTACAGATGGGGTTAGCAGGCCTCAGGCCTCGCTGCACAACGATGCATCAGGTTTCCTGGGGGAAATGGTTTGACAGGACACCTGCCCTTGCCTGTTGGCTGGTGTGTTTGAGAAATCCATCAGAGGAATGTTTTTGCAGCTTTAATCCTCTTACCTTCCCTCAGACCCTTCTTCTGCATCCCCTCTTTGTGTATTCTTCCAACTATTTTATTAACGGGTCGGCGCTCATCAAATGCCAATGGGCTCACTCCTGTTTCTCAGCTCTCAACAGGTCAGAAGCCCCTGGTCTTTGAGGCCATCTCTGGGTTTATGGACCTTCTTTATTTGTCACAGAGCTTCGTGCTTTCTGAGAAAGCCCATAACATCTCAGGCTCCATATGGAACCCTGCCCGGTTCCTTGACTTCTAAGCACGCAATTTCTTAACGGAACATATATCTTCTCATATATCACTTACGTAGGAGCCTTGGATACACAGATTACAGGGATCTGCTCAGACACAAATCATGCAATATGCTCTGAGTTTCCTCCACACTTACAGGGTACATCAGGCTCCTACCTTCTTAGCTGTGGGGATAAAAGGAGGAAAATAAAAACTTTCAGAGGCATGTCGGGTGTGGCTGCCATCACCAGGATCATAGGCGAAACTACAAACTGACAAATTTCCCCTTGAGCCCCTTCTGAATTTCTTTCTCTCCACCTTCTAGCCTGATCCTTCCTTTAAGAATAAAAGGCTCAGTAGATCTATGAATTCAATGACAATATTCAGTGTATGTTTGTTCATTCTCGTAACACAAAACTGTCGAATCTTGATGGTAGGCTCATCCTCCAGTTTTTATAGACTCTACCTGTCCCGTCGCGTGGTACACTTTGCCTCCCCAGAATGCCCCCAGTGTGATCACTAAACCCAACTTTTACTTTCAGGGAGTTTCCTTATTTGATCGTCTTCTCCCCGAGTTCCTCCCTTAGGCTGAAAATTAAAGTTCGCTTCTGTTTAAGAAAGAAGTCAGGTAAGACGGTGCCTTCAGGTGGAGGCTGCCTGGATTTACCAACATCCCCATCTCCCTGAGCACTTCCGGCTTTCAACGCCTCCAGGCATTTCTCGTACCTAGTCAGTCCCGTCCTACCCTCCTGCCTGTTCTCGGGGAGCACAGGACGAGCCTGCACGCATCTGCCGAGGCTGGATGGGATCCACCAGATCGTGAGGCGACTGAGTTGGGCTCACTTGGCAACGCTGCCGGGAGGCTCAGCAGCCTCGTGGCCATCGGCAAGTTTCTAGGCTGACTGATCATCCAACCCCTTAACTCTCCTGGCCGCCAGGCCTCAACTTTGCCCCTGTGCTGGCTTGCTGCGTCTACGGCCAGTGTTACAAAACGTAGAAAGAGCTTGCCTGATGGAGTACCCCAGTGACATGCTGACCCTGTGGCCCATCCCTGCGTGTTCTGAAAGGCAGCAAAGGTGCAGAGGAAGTAGAACCAAGCGCCCGGGGCTCACCGCTCTACTGATGGACTGGGAGGCGCTGTCTGAGCAGGGGAAGGGTCCTAGGCCTTGCCTCCCTGTGTGGGCTCTTGCGATGCAGGGGCTCTCCAGTGCCCTGAACTGCTTCACGGACGGGCAGAGAATCACAGCACGACTTGATCTCCAAGTCACCTGAGGAGCCATGGCCTGGCACGACCCCATGGTCAAGCCTCTGAAAGGAAGTGCGCTACAAGTGGAAAACCATGGTGACGGACTGCAGAAGCGGAGTGGAGGCTGGGTCCTGACGGTGTTCCTGTTAGAGGTGGGACTGCCTGGATTCTGGTGAGTCGACGGGGTTTACTGTGGGATGGGCGGGCCTCTCAGACGCCACGCATTCTGGGTAGTGACTAAGCCTATGACTAGTCCATAGCCCCGGCACACAGACCACTGAAGTCAAACCCAACTGCGGCCCACAAGGCTGGGCAAAATCTGCATATTATGCAGTCGGCATCTGGCACGATACCATCCTTCCAGACACCACTGATTCATTCACTCAGCCATCCAGAAGCTGCAAAGATACCAAGAAGATAAAGACGTAGTTCCTAACCACAGGAGCTTTACTCTAATAGAAAAGACAGTTAAAACAACACACAAGGCAGGGTACAACAATTCGCACGAGTGGTGTCCCCAGGTGTAGTCCCTGCCACCTTCACCAGCATTCCAACCTAAGTTAGGTTACCTCGATCTCCAGAACAACTTAGAAAGGGGGTTGGTGGAGTGAGTAACCGTCCCTTTGCAGGCTGGAAGAGTGGACAAATACATTTGCTCTCTTCAGGATTTTTTTCTGCCTGTTCAATTGCATAATTTTGGCTCCAAAGCTGTCTCCTGACAGCCATGGAAACGTGACATGAAATTTCTCACACACACTTTCTGATGAAAGCAAGGCATGCTATTTAAATAAAAACAGTTTCTATGGGGGAGAGAAAAACCTTGGTAGATGCCAAACATATTAGTTGTTAAATCTTGTGTTTCTTTCTTTTCTTTTGAGTTAAGGTGGGGTGTGCACCTAGATTGGAGCAGTGGGAGAAAGCTGAGGTTGGGGAAGAGATGAAAGGCCCAGAGGGAGGAGAGCAGAAGATCAGAGTCAAGACTGGAGGTGGGGAGGACAGGAGAGAGGGCATAAAAGGAGGGGTGCGAGAGGAAGGAGGAGGAAACGAAAAAGAACCTAGTTTGCAATGTCATTAAATGATTTGCAGTAAACTGGCCTAATGCTTCAGGAATTTCTTGGCTTGAACCAATTAAAAATATATATTTTTTAAAAGACATATGAGAATGAGAAATGTTATTAATCGTTGAACACAAACCAAGGATGGGAGCCGTTTCTCCACTGAGTCTGGCAGCCAGATGAACAGAGAAGATGTCTGTAGACAATCCCATTTATTTGACTCCAGTGCTGCTGTGAAGTAGGGCTGGCTAGCAGAACTGGGGAGTTTCTTTTGGACTAGACGAAGGAATAAAATGGTTTGAAAACATACACTGGGGAAAGAGAGAAGAAGGAAAAAGAAGATTGACTTGCCAGCAACCCACATCACACATATTTCTCTGATCAACCAAATATAAACTAGAAACTTAGCAATGGGAAAATTAATGTGAATCCCGGTGGTCTAGACTCATCAGAGCCAGAGCTGCTTCCTGGCATGGCCTTTGGCAGGCTGGCGGCCTGTACAGGAAGAGAGAGAGGAGAGAAGACGGAGGCGTTCAGAGGAACAATGGACGTGAACCCTTCAGCGTGGCCTTTACAAACAGAATTCTAGGTGGGAGAGGCGGGGGCACAGTCTGAAGGCCGTGGGACCCACAGTGGTTCCCGCTTTCCCCTCCGCACACCTGGGAACTACGTAGTCCTAAAAGCAGTAATGACTACCCATGTCGTCTGCCCACCCTCTCTGACAGTGTCCCGTGAAGCATCTGGTAGGACGTGGAGCCACTTCCACTGGCGTCTCCCTTCAAACGTTCCAGAGTTTCCTCTAAAACTGCTTCACGCTTCTGACGTCCATCAATTTTTCTAAACCCTTCCTGAATCTATTTGTATTTTCAGTCTGTTTATACCCCAAGATGTTGCTTCATCCTTTCTTGTTTACTTCCTCAAAATTTTTACTATGTCATAGTCTGGTGAAGAAATCTTTGTTCACCTTCTGCATGCCCTTTCTGATCTTCTAGACTTCAACCACATCTTATCTGGGAGTCTGCCTCTCCCTAGACATTCACCGAAGGCCTAGCCTGTGCCAGGCCCACTGCTGTGCAGCAGTGTGGTGGTCACAGAGGTGAAGGGCAAAGAGACGGTGGCAGGAGAGGCCTAGAGAAGTAAACTCGGGATGGTAGGGAGCCGGGAAGAGGGGGCCCCACTCCACACTTGGGGGGTCGAGGGGGTCAAGAAAAGATTCTTAGAGGAGAAGATACTTGAATCTTGAAAACTGAGAAGGAATTTATTAACCCAAGGGAGGTGGGAACTCTCTGGGGAAGAGAACGGAAAGGAGGTTGTTACAGGTGGATGGAGAGCCATTCCAAAAACCAGTGCAAGACTAGCTGAGGAAATGGCAGGGTTGCTGGCTCTGGAGTGGGAGGTAGGGCTGAGAGGGAGGCTTAAGCGTCACGCTGCAGCCTGGGTCTTACTCTGTGATGCCTTTTCAATGTTTTTAAGTAGAAAAGGAACGCACTCACCAAAAATGAAGCACAATTTTCCCTAAAGAAAAAAACATGCTGTTTCTGCCTTAGCAAGTTTTTTTTTTCCTTTTACTTACCTTTTTTTCCCTCAGTATTAAGTGATAGTCCTTTATTTAGATTTGAACATTTTGTCCCATTTGCAGGACAGGCTCACTGTTCTATAGTTCCTGGGACTATTACCAGATTCCAAAAATGGTTGCAAGTCTAAAAAATAAGATCAGGGTAGAAATCCCTAAACTCTTCTACACACACAAAAAAAGGAGAGCCAAGGAACTCATTTGCTCTCCTGATTCTTTTTCATTTTAAAAGAACCATCTTGCATCATGTTCTTTAGAGGTTCCAGTGATTTCAAGCAAGCTAATCAATCCCTCCCCTTGTCTTCCTGCGCAAAAGGCTTCTTAAAGTCTGTTCTGGCTCACTGAATCTATAGTTGTACCTGCTTAACACACTGTGTGGTCCTTCCCTTTTCTCTTAGCTTAGAAAACGAACCTAGGATTTTATTTAAGCATATGGGTGTGTGTGCAAAGAACAGACTGAGGAGAGGAGTGGGGTAGGTTAAGAGTCCTAAGCATGTCCTTGGGAGAAGATGCACCTTGGAACTGAGCCCTCTTTTGGTAAATACTGACGGTTGCTAAATAGAGAATTGGAACCCTGGCTGTTTGGGGCAGTTGCTGCCATGATGCCCTGAGCTAACTCCACACATTTGTCTGGGCACCTGTGCCAGGCCTACTGGGATTAGCATTGCCAAAGCCCTTTGAAGATTTCACCAGAATACCAGGGGAAATTCTTGTGAGGTGTGAATTTCTGCCTGTATCCACTAGAAAACAGAAAGGGTTAATGTGACTTTGGCCTAAAGCTGTAAGGTATTCCTTAGTCATCTCCTATTTAGGTACTCAAGTTGCTTAGTACCTTTTAGGTTTAAACTGTCTTTCAATAATTTTCTTGTCCAACTGGCAAAGTAAAATACACAACGCTTACGGCAGAAAGCAGCTGGATTTCAAGCTCAAGTTAGTTCTCCTTTTCCAACTATACCACCGTGTGGAGCTGTCTCTCTGCCTCTCCCAGCAAAGGCAGATTCACCCTCTGCCTGGAGGGCATCTTCAGACCCAGCTTTCAGAGGCAGACTCCTTTCCCCTCCTAGGGAAATACAGCCACTGGGTGATTGTCTCTGTCTTGCCACCTCATCCTAATTTCAGGATCTGACTGAACTCACTATGGAATTATCTGCACCGTCCAAGAAACTGCACTGGGCTTAGGTCTAAGTACAGGATGTAGAAAGCTGAACTTCGTTGTTGAAGGTCTGAGAAAGGGATGGGAGGACTCAAAAAATTAGAGAGAAAGGTTGTCCCTCACACATTCTTCAAGGCTCAACCCTGAGTCTTCCTCAATCCCCTGAAACTGAAATGAATCACTGTTCACCTGAACTCCCATTAAAATCTGTTTATATCTCTATTAGGCAACTCATGGGTCTGACTGACCTGCTTCATGGCTAACATGTAAATGCAGTCCACCTTCTCCATCAGACTAAGAGATCCTCAACAGGAGGGACTAGGTCTTACCGTGCTGTTGGAAATTCTAAACACTCCCCAATTCGCAGGACACGAATCTCCAAAACACCCAGATATTGAACTCAGGACAATGGCTGGTTTGCTGGTTCCCTAGTGGGACTCATGACTCTCCAGCCTGCCGGCTAGCCCTATGGATTTTGGACTTACCAGCCTCCACGATCATGTGAGCCAATTCTTTAAAATAAATCTTTCTCTCCCTTTCTTTTTTCCTTTCTCTACTCGTCTTTCTCTCTCTCTCTCTCTCCCCATATGTGTGTGTGTGTATAATTATATATATGTTCTCCATAAAATTACATGTGTATATATAATTATATGTGTGTATATATATTCATATGTATGTTCTCCACAAAATTATGTGTTTATATAATTATGTATGTGTGTATATATGTGTGTGTGTATATATACATACATGCATTTTATATATATATGTGGTGGGGGGAGAGATTGGCTCTTCTTCTCTGGAGAACCCTGACTAAAAACAAGGATAGGGCTTCCCTGGTGGCGCAGTGGTTGAGAGTCCGCCTGCCGATGCAGGGGACACCGGTTCGTGCCCTGGTCCGGGAAGATCCCACATGCCGCAGAGCGGCTGGGCCAGTGAGCCATGGCCGCTGAGCCTGCGCGTCCGGAGCCTGTGCTCCGCAACGGGAGAGGCCACAACAGTGAGAGGCCCGCGTACCGCCAAAAAAAAAAATTAATTAATTAAAAAATAAATAAAAACAAGGATAAAGGAAGCTAAAAATATATTTTTTTTTAATGTCGACAGCAATCCTTAATGGCCTATTCTAATTCAGGGTCACAGCACAGAAGACCTTAAGGAAGTGTCTGATGGGAATCAGAGCTGGGGAGCTGAGTAAGAAGTCATGGCTTCTGTTTGTGGAACTCACAAGGCCAAGGGCCAGGGTCGGCCCATCCTGCCAGCGCAAACCAGCACTGTCTCCTTGGAACAATAAGCAGCAGTGAGCCAACACAAGCATAAATGGGCAGCTCTGCGGGCTACACTGACAACATATATGCAGTGACACTACGGGCTGCTCTCAAAGGTGGCGGGGAGGTGGGAACCCAGGTTGGAGAACATGTGAGTAGGGGAAGCTGAGAACTTCACAGGAAATGGGTTTGCTCTCTCTTCCTGATAAGCCAGTCCTCTCTCTTGGCTCTGGCTGTGACGGAAGCTTTGCCCCTCCTGGGCTCTGTCGTCCTAGGGCTGCTCCCAGAATGCAGTTGGGCAGCACAGGGTTGGGCACCGGCCTCAGAGCCTTCTGCAAGAGGATACTCCACGGATATGTGCTGACCAAATGGGTGAGTGAATAAAGTCTGGAATTCATAAAATGCCTCAAAATATTACTATCATATACTCTCTCATTTGATTCTCTAAAAACCAAAACAAAACAAAACCATAAGATGGATGATGTAATCATTACTGTGCTCATTTCACAGTTGTGGCAATCTGAGAAATCAAGTGACTTGCCCAAAGCCACATTAACTCTTAAGTGGCAGAGTTAAAACTTAAAAAAAAAAAAGATCCTCGGTTTAAGTTTCTTGTTTTTTCCATCCTACCAGTTGGGCTCTTCATTTCACTCATGGGTTAAATTATGGTAACAAAGGGCCCCTGTCCCCTTCTGACCTTTCCTCAAAGGCACAGAGTCATGGACACAGCTGCCTAAGGGGAACTCCTTCCCTTCCTGTCAGCTGTCTTGCCTCTGATCTCTGATGCCAGAGAAGGATAATTCAGGAGTACGTGACTGGTCCTAGGGCTTAAAGACCTTACGGAGGGGTTACATATCGGCTGTCAATTAAACCAGCACCAGCATAAGACTTCACATTAGCCTGAGGACTAAAATCCCCAGATATAGAATTATTACCCAGTTACCGCTTATTTTATTTCCAACTATGACTGGGAGAATTAACTGAAAAGATAGAAAGAAGGTAAAAATGAAGAATTATTAGGAGTTTATCTGAATGGTAGATGACGAGTGGTAAGGGGTCGGAAACAGCTTTCACGCTGCATGCCGGCTCTGAACTGGCTGTGATTACGTGCTGTGCTGTGTGGAGAACAACGCTAAGGATGCCTCGGGGTCCAGCAACAAGGAATGCGGTGTCCACGGGCAACATCCGCTGTTGGTTCAGGCTCACAAAGTGGTGGTGCCCGGGTGTGAAGCTTGTGAAAAGAGAGGTAAGGGGAAGAGAGGTAAGAAAGGAGAGCAAAGTCAAAGCACTTCAAAAAGAATTAAACATGCTCTGAAGAGAGGCATTAGCAGCAAGAGAGATTCACCACAAAGAAAGCTTAAGTGAAAAGGGGAAAAAAATCGCCACAGAAGAGAGTGGGAAGGGCACCTCCACAGAGAGTAAGAAAAGCAGTTCTCCACACAGCCAGGACCACCTGGAGGAGAGGGTGGGAGTGCACAGGTGAGACTTCAGGTGGTCCCATTTTACCTGAAGAACACAGGCTGATGTCACCAGGCAGGGGTAAAGTTCAAGTGCACCCCCTGGCATCAGAGTAAAAGTGGTCTGGACCAGGGAAGTTCTGGCAGCAGCCTCCTCCACATCCCTGAATCCTCAAGCCAGGTCTCAGCCCCCATCACTGAACGCCCCATCACTGAACGCCCCCATCACTGAACGCCCC